ATCCATCATAACATTTATCTAACTGTAAGACCTGGCTGAGGAGCACACGACCTCTGGACCGCAGCAGATCTCACAGAGAACAGACTGGTTTCAGACCGTGAGCACACTGATCCTCTGATCTACACAAACAGTCCTGGATCAGAGGATTCACACACACGTTTATTTCTGTACAGCAGCAGTGGAGCCTACAAATGGTGATGTTGGTCCACAGACAGAAACTCAGACCAGGTCCTGTCAGAAACCTGTCTGAGGCTGGTTCAACTCTCATCATCATCATCATCATCACATGTCTCATATATGAACATCATAGGAACAAGGAGAAACACTGAGTCCTGGTCTCAGTCCTGGTCTGAGTCTGAGTCTGAGTCTGAGTCCTGGTCTGAGTCTGAGTCTGAGTCTGAGTCTGGGTCCTGGTCTCAGTCTTGGTCTCAGTCTGAGTCTGAGTCTGAGTCTCAGTCCTGGTCTAAGTCTTGGTCTGAGTCTGAATCTGAGTCTGAGTCTGAGTCTGAATCTGAGTCTGAGTCCTGGTCTGAGTCTGAGTCTGAGTCTGAGTCCTGGTCTGAGTCTGAGTCTGAGTCTGAGTCTGGGTCCTGGTCTCAGTCTTGGTCTCAGTCTGAGTCTGAGTCTCAGTCTGAGTCCTGGTCTAAGTCCTGGTCTGAGTCTGAGTCTGAGTCTGAGTCTGAGTCTGAGTCTGAGTCCTGGTCTAAGTCCTGGTCTGAGTCTGAGTCTGAATCTGAGTCTCAGTCTTGGTCTGAGTCTGAGTCTGAGTCTGAGTCTTGGTCTGAGTCTGAGTCTGAGTCTTGGTCTGAGTCTCAGTCTCAGTCTGAGTCTTGGTCTCAGTCTGAGTCTGAGTCTGAGTCTGAGTCTTGGTCTGAGTCTCAGTCTGAGTCTTGGTCTGAGTCTCAGTCTCAGTCTGAGTCTTGGTCTCAGTCTGAGTCTTGGTCTGAGTCTGAGTCTTGGTCTGAGTCTCAGTCTCAGTCTGAGTCTCGGTCTCAGTCTGAGTCTGAGTTTGAGTCTGAGTCTGAGTCCTGGTCTCCAGAGGACACTTCCTGTGGCGCCCCCTCAGGACAGACATGTCCTCTGAGAGTCTGCAGTCTCAGCTGGACGTCCTCTGACTTGAGTTAATGCTGAGTCGCTCAGTGATGCAGTGTTTGCTTTATGCTGAGTCATGATCTGCACTGCGTCCTGAGTCAGTGAAGACAGACTCCGCCCCCTCCACCTCTTAAAGTACTCTGCAAGTCTGCAGGACACACACACACACACACACACACACACACACACACACACACACACACACACACACACACACACACTCTTCACAGTGGGTTTTTACCTTCACTATATGAGTCTTTTCAAACAGCTGGTTGTGACTAATTAGTAGAAAAACCTCTGAGGAAATGTTATTATTTATTTATTTATTTGTTTGTTTGTTTGCTTGTTTGTTTGTCTGTTTGTTGGTTGACAGACTCTGACCTGCTGACAATGAATGATAATGAAATGAACTTGTGTGTATAGATGAAGTGATTGAAAGTGTAGCTGTTGTCAACATGTTGAACTCAGTCACATTAAATCCACCTGGACAGGTAGAGTGAAGGTGGAGCCTCCTGTGGCTGGAGGGAGGATTACACCCCCACACACATGTGGTGAAGCTGCTGGAGCAGAGCAGATATTTACTGAAACCATCTGCGTGGTTTTCACAGTGATGCATTATGGGTAGGTGTCACATGTTTTTCCCATGATGGACGTCAGGCTTCACGTGGAGCCCGAGATCTGATCCAACAAATCCTCCAAGATCCTCCGACACACTGAACATCACCTGGCTCACCTGTGTGTGTGTGTGTGTGTGTGTGCGCATGTGTGTGTGGTCTTCATGTTGTGATTTTTAAAAAGTTCGTTTAGAGAACACCTGATCAGCCTGATGATGAACTGTTTACCTGTGCACCTGTGTTTACCTGCATACCTGTTTACCTGTTTACCTGTTTACCTGTGTGTCCTCAGGCTCGTTCAACAGCAGCCTTCGTCCTCCTGAAACCTTCTTTAAAGTGATTTTCTGGTTGGGATACTTCAACAGCTGCCTGAACCCCATCATCTACCCCTGCTACAGCCGCGAGTTCAAACAGGTAACATGATGCTAAGCTAACCGGCTGTGCACCTGTGTCTGTGGGAGGGGCCAACACACAGTGAGGGGAGGGGCTACAACATGTGAGAAAACAGGAAGCAGAGCAAGGACGCCACTGTCACATGTAATTGTTGTGTGAGTGCCTGATGCTTGGTGCTAGAGTGATAGCAACACTGATAATAATAATGATAATAATAATAATAATAATAATATTGGTACCATTGATCCTGGTTCTGATGGTTCTGACTGGTTATAATGGTTCTGACTGGTTCTGATGATTCCAACTGGTTCTGATGGGTCTGACTGGTTCTAACTGGTTCTGGTGGGTCTGACTGACTCTAATGGTTCTGACGGTTCTGATGGTTCTAACTGGTTCTGATGGTTCTGACTGGTTCTGATGGGTCTGACTGACTCTAATGGTTCTAACTGGTTCTGATGGTTCTGACTGGTTCTAACTGGTTCTGACTGGCTCTGATGGTTCTGACTGACTCTAATGGTTCTGACGGTTCTGACTGGTTCTGATGGTTCTGACTGGCTCTGATGGCTCTGATGGCTATGATGGTTCTGATGGCTCTGATGGCTCTGATGGCTCTGATGGCTCTGATGGTTCTGATGGTTCTGATGGTTCTGACTGGTTTCAATGGTTCTAACTGGTTCTGATGGTTCTGATGGTTCTGATGGTTCTGACGGTTCTGACGGTTCTGATGCTCTGATGGCTATGATGGTTCTGATGGTTCTGACTGACTCTAATGGTTCTGACAGTTCTGACTGGTTCTGATGGTTCTGACTGGCTCTGATGGCTCTGACTGGTTCTGACGGTTCTGATGGCTCTGATGGCTCTGATGGCTATGATGGTTCTGATGGTTCTGACTGACTCTAATGGTTCTGACAGTTCTGACTGGTTCTGATGGTTCTGACGGTTCTGACGGTTCTGATGCTCTGATGGCTATGATGGTTCTGATGGTTCTGACTGACTCTAATGGTTCTGACTGGCTCTGATGGTTCTGATGGTTCTGATGGTTCTGACTGGTTTCAATGGTTCTAACTGGTTCTGATGGTTCTGATGGTTCTGTCCTCAGGCTTTCATCCGGATCCTGCGGTGCCAGTGGAAGAGGAGGCGTCAGTGGCAGGCGTACTATAACTACCGCTGCCAGCAGGGCTCCAACACCTCGTCCTTCCTGAACGGCAGCCAGCAGACGCTCTCCTCCGTCAGCCCCAGCCCGCGCTGCGTCGCCTCCAGGCTTCGCCCCCCGCCCTGGCCCTCCGCCTCCTCCTCTGACCGAGACCTCCTCCCGGGGTCGGCGGGGAGAGGGCGACCGGGCCCGGTGTCCCCGCTCGCTAAGGATGCTGGGACGGTGCCGCAGGCGGTAATGAACGGTCGGAGAGAAGAGCGGCACGGAGCCGGTGCGGGAACGCCGCCGTCTAAACTGTGAGGAGTGGGAGGCGCTGACGGACACACCTGCTGCCTCAGGAAGGACGCACAGGTATTACCGCTGACATCACAGGGCGCTCTGTCCACTCAGGTGTGATGATTGTACCTGTCAGGAGGTTACGACTGTTCCCGCCTCCTGCTCAGCCTTAATAATACACCTGAGGAACAGGGCGGAGCCTCTCACCTGGATCAGCGGTTGACTGTGGGAAAACATCACAACATCACAAGGTTTCACCTGGTGGTTCCTGCAGATCAGGACCGCCCACCGCTCTGAAGTTTCCCTCCACAGATCACACAGGTGAACCACAACCTTCACAATAAATCAGCACAAACAAACACGGAAGTAAAACTGTTGACGCTAAAGATTCTTCTGAAAACAGAATCACAACAAACCTCAACTTTAAACTTCTGTAACAGTAGAATATTAGAACCATATATTTACCTGGTTTCATGTAATCTACTCTCTTAAAGGGGCAGTCGAGTTCTGGACTAAGTCTGTTGATGTTTGAACTCAACAGTTAAATATATATACGCCCCTCCTCTCAGTGCTCCCTCAGAAGCTCCGCCCCCAAAACTAACACCTGGGCTAGCTGAGCAAAAGAGAAATATGTCAGAATCCAGGGTGCAAAACAAACCTGATGTAAAACATCAACAAACAATCAACAGAAAGACAAACACACAAACAGTGACAGAGGAGAGGACTGTAGGTTTGTAGCTAAGCTAACAAGGAAGCTAACGTTACTTAGTATAACGTTTCAAATTCATCCAACCAAACAAATCCACCGAGCGAACTTCTGTCTTTAGGTCTTTGTGTCTGAAATGACATGTTGTACTGATAAACACCATGAAACAACCAGACAGCTAACTGTGGCTACAGCTGCTGCAGCTACGCTAACATGCAGAGAGGACCAGATGGTTTCCATAGCAACACACAACCACAACTCTCCTGCTGTTAGAGCTAACATCACACCAACACCAGTTGGGTTAGCTGTCACAACCATTAGCAAACAAGACAAAACAAAACTGACTTAGTGTCAAAGCTAATGTTACAGAACAACCTCTGCCTCCGTCTTCATCCCTCTCTCTGACATCTGTCCTGACCTCTCCTCATCTCTCCGTCTGGACTGTGATGTGAAGTTCACCTCGTTAGCACCAGATTACCGCCTCACTGCCCCCCCCCCCCTTCTGCTTTCCCTGCTGCTGATGGTCTTGGTTTACAGAGCTGTGGCTGTGGAGGAACCACCATGGACCACAAGGAGATATTCACTGAATTTGACTCAATCAATGATTAATGATTAAAACTGTCCTAAAGAAGTTCCTACAATTAGAATGAATGAATTAACAGGAAACTAAACAGAGAAAAGTATAACCATAAACCTAAGATGGAAATTTAAAAGTCAAATCATTTTCAGTTAATTACAGACGTTTTTTTTTTCATATTTATTTATTGGCATTGGCATTTATTGGCTAAAGTGCGAAAGAAAATGGAGCGAGAGCATTCATGAAATAAAGTTCATTCAAAAGTCAAAATTCAAAAACTCAAACTGAAAAGAAAGTGTAATAATAAAAAAGTATGCATGTGAAATAAATTTTAAAGTTGATTTTTAAAGTTGAATATCAACAAACAGTCACTTCTTGCTGGTGAGTGAGCTAACAAGCTAATGAACTATAAACTGCAACATCAGTTAAGTAATGTTAGCTTCAAGCTAAACACTAGCTTTACTGTTAGCTCAAACACACTCAAATACTGCTGAACAAAATAAAGGTCTTATTTCTTGTTTTCCTTCTGTATATTTATTTGTTTATGATGCTAAAGGGCTAAAGACAATGCTAAAGTTAAAATTAACTGAAGAAATTAAGAACAAAAGAAATGTAAAAAGTCAACAGGAAACTAAGTTGAAAAAAGAAAAAGACTAAAACAAAAACAAAAAATGAAAATTATCTAGAAAGTTACTGTTATTCTGTAAATATGGAGATTTTATTTGTTGTTATTTTTACCGTCTGTCATTATTCTGCTGAACGGCATCAGAATTCTGTCCTGACATATTAAATATAAAATATTATTATTGTATTATACTGAAGTACCTAAAAGACTGACACTCTCCTAATTTAAAAAATGTTATGTTTCCTTTTCTTGACAGTAACTTCACGTTTAATTTCAATCATTATTGTAATTAATATTTATTAATTGTCATGTGCAAATTGTATTTTGGTGAAAACTGTCCTGTCACTGAACATACTAGAACTCCTATTGTGAAAGTGTCCCCTCAGAGAACTCTTATTGTGAAAGTCTCCCATCAGTGACCATAATATGACTCTTATTGTGAAAGTGTCCCCTCAGAGAACTCTTATTGTGAAAGTGTCCCCTCAGTGACCAAAATATGACTCTTATTGTGAAAGTGTCCCCTCAGTGACCATAATATGACTTATTGTGTAAGTGTCCCCTCAGAGAACTCTTATTGTGAAAGTGTCCCCTCACAGGACTCTTATTGTGTAGGAACTGCACTGACTGTTTTCACATTCACTTTAATACAGTGTGATCACAGCAGCCTCTGGTGGACTTCAGAGGAACTGCAGCTGCTCTTGGTTTGAACTGATTTTACTCTGAAAAGCTGTTTAAATGTTTTGGTTTTCTCTTTTGATGGGGCTAGGCTAACAGTTAAGTTCCCCCTGCTTCCATTGTTTGTGCTAAGCTAGGCTAAGAGTTGATTTCCCCATCCCTGCTTCCAGTGTTTGTGCTAAGCTAGGCTAACCATGTCCTGGACCCGTCTCTGTGTTGGAGATGAAACTGAAGATGGAGAAGATTTCACTGAATGTCACCGTGTTCCTTTAAATAATAAAAAACAAAATAAATAATAACTTTGAAGTGTTGTGTTGTAATTACATATGATATTGATCTGATTCAGTGTGATTTCACTTCCTGATTATGTCTTCATCTGATGTCCCTCCAGAATAAAGCTCCAGAGAAAACAGGCTGCAGAACTGTTTTTTCTTTTAAAGCCTCAGTCACTTTATCAATCACTTTTTCCTCTCCTCATCACTGATTGGCCCAGGACATAATGAGAATATTCGATTTGTTGTTAAATTTAATCTTTACTTTTACATTTCAGCACCTGCAGCCCAGGTGTGTTCCTGTTCTCCTCACCTGATGCTCATAGAGATGGTGAATCAGTCCTGAACCTCCTACTGAACGTTTGTATAGATGTTTTTAATGTGAATCTCTTCCTGTTCATGTGACGTCACAACAACAAGTCTGAATCATCTGAACTTTTCCTGAGAATATTCACTTCCTGTCCAGAGCCGATATCAACATGTTGTCTTTACCATAATGTAAGTGACTGTCAAAATAAACACCTCAGAGTGGAGGAGCTGCTCTGCAGAGACTGTGGTGGCTCTTAAAAGAGCCTTTGGTTGATCCGGTTCGGGTCGGGTCCACTTCACTTCTTTGCCTTCTTGGCTGCGGGTTTCTTTGCCGGAGCTTTCTTGGCCGCGGGCTTCTTGGCGGCCTTTGGCTTCTTGACGGCCGCCTTCTTGGGGCTCTTCTTGGGGCTCTTCTTGGGCACCTTCTTGGCGGGCTTCTTGGCCGGAGCTTTCTTCGGGGACTTCTTGGCCGCCGCCTTCTTGGCCGCTGCGGGTTTCTTTGCCGGAGCTTTCTTGGCCGCGGGCTTCTTGGCTTTGACGGCGGGCTTCTTCTTCAGTACGGCCTTGGCCGGTTTGGCGGCTTTGGGCTCGGACTTGGCGAGCTTGAAGGAGCCGGAGGCCCCGGTGCCTTTGGTCTGGACCAGGGTGCCTTTGGTCACCAGCTTGGTGACGGCGGTGTTGACGCGCTTGTTGGTCTTGGTGACGTCGACGCCTCTGGCGGCCAGAGCTTTCTTGAGCGCCGCCAGCGACATCCCCTTGCGCTCCTTGGACTCGGCCACGGCGCTGACGATCAGCTTCGGGAGGCTGGGTCCCTCCTTCTTGGGCCGGGGAGCGCTCTTCTTCTTCGGGGCCTTGGCCGGGGCTTTAGCCGGGGCGGCTGCTGGAGCTTCTTCCGCCATGTGTGTGTGTGTCTCGGTGTGCTGTGTCTCTCTGAAGGTGTCCGGGCTCAGAGCAGGAGGCGGGACTTATAACGGCCATGAGAACCGTGGAGAGTGAAGGCGCTCGGCCGCTCAAACGTGGCGCCACTTGTGTTTTCTCCTCCACGTTTTGTCCGTCAAACCGCCTCTAAGTAAAGGTGTGTGGACACAGGTGCGGTCGCCGCGCGGAGGACAGTGTGTCCCCGTCCCTCGCAGCTCCTGTGTGGAGACGAGGACTCTGTGGTTTCTCTGCAGGAGGCTTCAGACCTCTCTGACACACTCTCACTGTCACCAACTCGCTGCCGCTTTTCTTCCCTTTCCGTCTCATAAAGCGACTGAAGTGACGAGGACCAGCGGAGACAGCGGCGGTCCAGGAGGCAGAGACATGTGGGGACGGACCGAGGCTCGGAGCTCTGCAGCTGGAGCTTCGTTCAGCTGCACCAAGGAGCTTCTCTGTGGCGGTAAACACACGGACTCTGTCAGTGACGTTATTCTCAGGATCCAGATTCATTTACTTTTTATTCTTCAGTGGTAAAGAAACATGAGGTGACGTCAGTCTGGATCGGCACCGAGTCCGTTTCTGCCCTTACCGGAAACTCTTCTCGTTAAGGTCATTGTCACGAGACTTCATCAAATTAATTCTACACATAAATAGACCTACACGTGCACATATTGATATTATACAGTTACACAGACACAAAGTGTGAATCTTCACTGACTCATGAATGAAGGAATCAGCTGTTCATGACCACAAATAAAGAATATAAAGAAAGAAATGTTGAGGTGTGTGTGTGTGTGTGTGTGTGTGTGTGTGTGTGGGGCATCAACAATAAAAAATCAATCGACAATAGAAACAGCACGTGAATGATGTTTATCTGTGACAGTGACGTGACGTCATGACGCTGGAACAAACAATCAGCTGTGAAAACAGGAGAGAGAGGAGGTGGAGAGAGAGAGGGGGGAGAGAGAGGAGAGAGAGAGAGAGGGGGAGAGAGAGAGAGAGGGAGGGGAGAGAGGAGGAGAGAGAGAGAGAGGGAGGGGAGAGAGGAGGAGAGAGAGAGAGAGGGAGGGGAGAGAGGAGGAGAGAGAGAGAGAGGGAGGGGAGAGAGGAGGAGAGAGAGAGAGAGGGAGGGGAGAGAGGAGGAGAGAGAGAGAGAGGGAGGGGAGAGAGGAGGAGAGAGAGAGAGAGGGAGGGGAGAGAGGAGGAGAGAGAGAGAGAGGGAGGGGAGAGAGGAGGAGAGAGAGAGAGAGGGAGGGGAGAGAGGAGGAGAGAGAGAGAGAGGGAGGGGAGAGAGGAGGAGAGAGAGAGAGAGGGAGGGGAGAGAGGAGGAGAGAGAGAGAGAGGGAGGGGAGAGAGGAGGAGAGAGAGAGAGAGGGAGGGGAGAGAGGAGGAGAGAGAGAGAGAGGGAGGGGAGAGAGGAGGAGAGAGAGAGAGAGGGAGGGGAGAGAGGAGGAGAGAGAGAGAGAGGGAGGGGAGAGAGGAGGAGAGAGAGAGAGAGGGAGGGGAGAGAGGAGGAGAGAGAGAGAGAGGGAGGGGAGAGAGGAGGAGAGAGAGAGAGAGGGAGGGGAGAGAGGAGGAGAGAGAGAGAGAGGGAGGGGAGAGAGGAGGAGAGAGAGAGAGAGGGAGGGGAGAGAGGAGGAGAGAGAGAGAGAGGGAGGGGAGAGAGGAGGAGAGAGAGAGAGAGGGAGGGGAGAGAGGAGGAGAGAGAGAGAGAGGGAGGAGAGAGAGAGGACAGACAGACAGACAGACAGAGAGACAGACAGACTCCTGACACCTGCTCAGACACTGAGAACAGGATTTAATCTCTGATCCACTCCGGAGCACGAGGGGGCGGTAATGCTCCTGATAGGCTGGTTAAAGAAGTGGAAGAGGAAGAAGAAGAGGAGCTCTGTTGTGATTGGGCGGCGGTGGTTACGTTCAGTCTGACCAATCAGCGAGCAGCTGGGTCTGTATATGAACACGGTGTCTCAGTGTGACCGTCACTCTTTGGGTTTAGTGACTGTCTGAACAGGAAACATGTCTGGACGCGGTAAGGGTGCCGGTAAGGCCAGAGCGAAGGCGAAGAGCCGTTCCTCCCGGGCCGGGCTTCAGTTCCCGGTGGGCCGTGTCCACAGGCTGCTGAGGAAGGGCAACTATGCGCAGCGTGTCGGTGCCGGAGCTCCCGTCTACCTGGCGGCGGTGCTCGAGTACCTGACCGCTGAGATCCTGGAGCTGGCCGGAAACGCCGCCCGCGACAACAAGAAGACCAGGATCATCCCCCGCCACCTGCAGCTGGCTGTCCGCAACGACGAGGAGCTCAACAAGCTGCTCGGCGGAGTCACCATCGCTCAGGGCGGCGTGCTGCCCAACATCCAGGCGGTGCTGCTGCCCAAGAAGACCGAGAAGCCCGCCAAGAAGTGAGACCCGGAAGTAGCTCCACAACGCAACGCAACACAACGGCTCTTTTCAGAGCCACACATACACACACTGAAGAGCAGCTCCTCTGCTTCTCACCTCTCATGTCATATTACAATCACCTACATGCTCAAACTCACTCTCCATGTCCCTCATTACTGTTTCTCTCTTCACACACTTTAAACTCATCAACATTCACCTGCTTCCTCTTTACAACCAGCAACAGCACTGATCAACTCATTCATCGGATCAATCCGCCTCCTCACTACACTACACACCAGTACTTACACACATTAACATCATTAAATGCTGTCACTGAAAACCTCCACTGCTCTTTCATCTTGTGACCAGGAGGTGGCGCACTGCCCACATCACTCATTACTGAGCTGCATCAAGCTGCAGGTTAAACACACACATCACCTCCAGTTAGAAAGATCCACCACGATTTAGAAAACAAAAACAAAAGATTTGTTAATGAGTATAATATGAATATCTTTTTTTAATTTATTTTATTGTTTTAAGACTTTATTACCTAATCAGTTAATCAATGGATCTATCAGCTTGTGTATTGTAATTGCTCCATAGTGCAGATTCATAAAGGTGTTGCTCTTCTAGAACATGTAAGTGGCTCTTAAAAGAGCCGTTGTGTTTGTGAACTGGTCTGGGGTCAGTTTAAGCCCTCTCCCCGCGGATGCGGCGGGCCAGCTGGATGTCTTTGGGCATGATGGTGACCCTCTTGGCGTGGATGGCGCACAGGTTGGTGTCCTCGAACAGGCCGACCAGGTAAGCCTCGCTGGCCTCCTGCAGAGCCATGACGGCGGAGCTCTGGAAGCGCAGGTCGGTCTTGAAGTCCTGAGCGATCTCCCTGACCAGGCGCTGGAAGGGCAGCTTGCGGATCAGCAGCTCGGTGGACTTCTGGTACCGGCGGATCTCTCTCAGAGCCACGGTACCGGGCCTGTAGCGGTGAGGCTTCTTCACTCCGCCGGTGGCCGGGGCGCTCTTACGGGCGGCTTTGGTCGCCAGCTGCTTCCTGGGAGCTTTCCCGCCGGTGGACTTCCGGGCGGTCTGCTTGGTTCTGGCCATTGTAGCGAGTCGGTCAGTGAACAGCGACGGAAGGAGTGTTGTGTGACGGCCAGCCGCGGCTTTATCCCGCCGCTGCCGGAGCGAGCTCGGCGCTGATTGGTCCAGGAGGGGGCAGCTCAGCTGCTATTGGGCGACAACAGTTTAAAGTCGACCAATCACGTGCAGCGGCTTCTACCGGCTGCTGAAGAGGAGAAGAAGAAACAACCCGGTTCACAAGATGTTTTTATCATCTGAACTAACCCTAACCCTCATTAAATATTCACACGGTCAGAACTAGCTCTAATTCATATTTAATGATCACTTTGATTTGAAATCAGATTAAAATCAGATTCATGAGTTTTATTTGTCAAAGAAAAACACTTATTAATAGAATATTGATCAAGTTTAATGGAGAGTTTTAATTGGACTCTGTTGCAGTTTATTAGGAACATGTGACTCAAAGTGACTGACTCCTGTAATGAGGCAGTCCTGAGGAGCAGAAGGTCAGAGGTCACTGTCATTACTTGAATTATTGATCCTGATGATGATCAGAGGGTTTGTCATGGTCAGCCTGGAGGAAGTGTTTCATTCACTTCCTGCTGCAGAAACATGAAGCTCAGCATCATCATCATCAGCATCACCATCACTGATCAAGCTGTTTTCACCTCTGACCTTTGACCCACTGAAGCTGTTTCACTCAGTTGGAGCTCTGACGCTTTTTACAGGTAAGTTTGAAAAAGTCAAGTTCAAACTTCACATTTCATTTCATGTGATTTAAAATCAATTCGGTGTTTAAACTTTCATCATGTCTTTTGTAACAGCTGCTTTTAGTTTAAATCTCATTTTAACATTTTCTCCTTGTTTCATTCGAGACGTTTTGACACGTGGAAACAGAAAACAAACTGCTGCACTTTAACTTCTGTTATTTATACAGTTGAGCTTCTCAGTGTCAGTATTTAATGGTGTTAATGTGTGTAAGTAGACTGGTGTGTAGTGAGGACGCTGATTAATCCGATGAATGAGTTTAGCACGTTTTCAGGCACTTTGTGTTGTTCCTGTTTCTAAAGAGGAATGAAGCAGGTAAATGTCCTGGATTTAAAGTGGGTAAAGAGACAAACAGACTAACGAGGGAGTTGAATACTGACAGTATGTGCAGAGAGTGAGTTTGAGCGTGTAGGTGATTGTAATATGACATGAGAGGTGAGAAACAGAGGAGCTGCTCTTCAGTGTGTGTGTGTGTGTGGCTCTGAAAAGAGCCGTTGTGTTGTGTTGCGTTGTGAAGCTACTTCCGGGTCTCACTTCTTGGCGGGCTTCTCGGTCTTCTTGGGCAGCAGCACCGCCTGGATGTTGGGCAGCACGCCGCCCTGAGCGATGGTGACTCCGCCGAGCAGCTTGTTGAGCTCCTCGTCGTTGCGGACAGCCAGCTGCAGGTGGCGGGGGATGATCCTGGTCTTCTTGTTGTCGCGGGCGGCGTTTCCGGCCAGCTCCAGGATCTCAGCGGTCAGGTACTCGAGCACCGCCGCCAGGTAGACGGGAGCTCCGGCACCGACACGCTCGGCGTAGTTGCCCTTCCTCAGCAGCCTGTGGACACGGCCGACGGGGAACTGAAGCCCGGCCCGGGAGGAACGGCTCTTCGCCTTCGCTCTGGCCTTACCGGCACCCTTACCGCGTCCAGACATGTTTCCTGTTCAGACAGTCACTAAACCCAAAGAGTGACGGTCACACTGAGACACCGTGTTCATATACAGACCCAGCTGCTCGCTGATTGGTCAGACTGAACGTAACCACCGCCGCCCAATCACAACAGAGCTCCTCTTCTTCTTCCCCTTTAATGAGGTTCACGGCGCATTAGCGCCACCTACTGTAGTGTACAATCAACCGTCACTATTTAACAGACAAAATGAAAGTTGAACTTCACTGTTACACAATGAGAAGTAGTTTAATCTCCAGTGAAACGTCATTTTCAGTAACGAATAGAAATGTTTGACATGGCGAACCACAGTGTGTTTCCCGCCTCTGATCATCAGCCCCGCCCTGATGTGTTTCACCACTGTGTGTTCCCGCCACTCTTCCAGCAGCCGGAGCGTCTGTGACTTTTTTTTATTAACGTACTGACCTGTGTGTTCAGCTTTATATGAACTGTGACGTGTAAGATTTGTTTCTGTAGTTCACAGGAACGTCAGCACGCACGGTATTCTGACAGGTAACTGACCCCAGTGATCAGTGACGTCATTAAACGTGTCGGGATGTTCAGGTGTTAGCTAGCAGGTAGCAAGGAATGATAAGAAGAGGAATCACAATCTGAAACTCAGAGTGAGGAAAGGAGCTTCAGTGCTTCCTATCTGATCTCCTTTAGGAAACACTGGAGCTTCCTTAACCAAAGGAAAGGAGTCATGCCGTCCCGCAATGCCTTGCTGCAGCAACATTTGAAACCACAGCAGAGCCACATACATGTAGAAACCTCAGAGCAGCTGTTTCTGTCTGATGGACTTAAGCTCAGATCCATAAATACAGATTCATTCTCTTTCATTCAGTCAGGAGTCGCCATGAAGAACGAGCTGATGAATCTATAGTTACATCATCATCACAACTAAGTACTATAGTCTATACATTCATTTTCTAAACTAATGTATAAAATATCAGGAAACTAAACTTCTGTCTGAATATCTTTTAATTGTGTGAGTTCAGTCAGATTCTTTTCCTCCGTCCTGAAGAATTGATGAAATTAAATCTGTATGCAGTTAGCTCTAACATCACTTTAACGGTTAGCTGTAAAGTTTAGCTGTGATTATGGAAGCTAACTGTGTTAGCAGCATGTTAGCAGCGAGCCAGGAGCCTGCTGCGGTCAGGTGGCAGGTGTAGCTGGGAGCAGGTCAGAGCCACCCCTCACTCTTCCTCAGCTCCGCCCTCTTGTCCTTTTATAGCCCTAACCCAAGACGGCGACGTTGTATATGCCAAACTGGAGGCTTGAAAACAGCAGTGGGCGGCGTGATGGTGAGTTTCCTCTTGGTTCTGATAAACCTGATAAAACTCAAACATCACAAACATGTTCATGTTCTCTCTGTCAGGCGTCACATGACCTTCTCCATCAGGAGAAACTCAGGACACATTTGATGATGATGATAATGATGAAGACTGTGAACATGATGCTGCTCGTTCTCCTCACTCTGTTCTGTAACTTTAAAATTCAGTTTCCACTTTGTTGCTATGGAGACCTGAGTGTCGACTGATGGAGGGGCTTAAGTGTGTGTGTGTGTGTGTGTGTGTGTGTGTGTGTGTGTGTGTGTGTGTGTGTGTGTGTGTGTGTGTGTGTGTGTGTGTCAGGTTTGATGTTCCTGTTGCAGTGACCTCAGACACAGGAAGCAGCTGACCTCACCTTGTTGACAGGAAGTCACGACTTTAAAACCACATGAACAAAGCAGAGAGGAGCTGACACTCAGTGCTGGTTTGTGAGTCAGTGTGTGAGTGCTGGCTGAGTCCGTTTGTCAGTTGACTGTTGACCATGACTGTGGTGCTGCTGCTCGTTCTCCTCACAGGTAAACTGTTGACAGGTGATTCAGATCCATCATATACACGCTGTGATGTCTGACCTGTGTCCTGTCTCCACAGTCGCTCACAGTGACAGCAGGGGGGTCGAAGGTCGAGCAGGTGAGAGCGTCACTCTGACATGTAAATATGACGCTCAGAAACATGGCCGACTGTCAGCTTGCTGGAGTCGAGGAGATATATCAAACTCAGGCTGCAACAACCAGATCATCAGCACAGATGGACCAATGGTTTCCAGCAGGTATCAGTTACTGGGACGACTGGATGAAGGAGACGTTTCCATGACGATACTGAACCTCACAGAGACAGATGCTGGACGATATGGATGCAGAGTGGAGATACCTGGGTGGTTCAATGATGAAAAACATCACTTTGATCTGACATTTGACGCAGGTGAGACGTTCTTTAAGTTTGTGAAGGAAGTTTTGCCAAGATGTGACAGATCACAGATCTGTAATCTCCAGATCTATAATCTACAGATCTATACTCTACAGATCTATAATCAGTAGATCTATAATCTGATGTAAATATGGTGTTCACAGCAGATTCATCTGGTCACTCAGACTGAGATCACCTGAGCTTCAACATAATGGTGAAGTCAGTCTGAGACATTAAAGCTGTCGCTCTGAGAATCTGACGACAGGAAGTCAAGTGACCCCACCCTACTTCCTCTAGAGAACAACCACAGCTGCTGTTTTCACACGTCAAACTTCAGATGTATTTCTGACGCAGAACTGTCTCTGATAGATTTTAGAGGATGGGAAATAATAATAAATTATAACAATAATATGTTTAATTCAAACATTTGCAGTTTATTTTTTGAAATCCTGTCATCTGTCTGACAGCTCCCATCACAACAACCATCACAGGACAGAGAGGAAGTGATGTCACCACATGGAGAGGAAGTGATGTCACACCCACAGAGTCCACGGTGATGCTGGACCAGGAGGTGAGGTGGAGTCAGGGGTTTAAAATGTAAAACTCACTGTAACTGTAATAAGTGTAAATACAGACTCTCCACCTGCTGAACTCACCTGTACCTGTGCAGGTAAACAGTCTGCAGATGTTTGTTGGAAACACAGTGAGATTGTCCTTCATCATCTTCATCTCTGCACTGCTGCTGACTGCTGCTTACAGTCAGTGTGTATACACACTCACACTCACACTCACACACACACACACACACACACACACACACACTCACACACACACACACACACACTCACACACACACACACACACATACTCACACACACACACACACACACACACACTGTATTTATCCTCCATGTGTGCAGGAGTGTGGAGATCAAACCAGAGACCAGAGACTGACAGGAGGCTGGACCAATCAGAGAGGGAGGAGGTCACCTCTGTGTAGACACACAGAACAGATATAAATATTATATATAATTATTATCAGGCTCAATGTGGAGGTCCAATCTGTGGAGAAAGATGTTTAGTTTATTGATCACTGATTATCAGAAAGTGTGTGTGTGTCTCGTCATGACTGAATATATGATATTAGATCACAGCAGTGAAGACACATTAATATAGGTTAATTATCTTTCTCATAATGTCTAATTCTAGTTTTTTCATTTACATAAAGTTTCAATCATCTGTAATTAAGTCTTAATTCTCTAAAGTTTATTTTTCACAGTAATAAATTCAGATTTATAAAAAAGTGTTGAGATTGTGTTTGAGCATCAGAACAAAAACTGGTGAATGTTTCCAGCTCACATCGTTTTATTCATTGCTCTGTGTTAATGACAGTGAAGATCACTCTGTTAAACATCATGTTGTGTTTCAGCTCAGTTCAACAGTTCAACTGTTAAAACCAAGAAACTGAAAACAAAAAGTTACTGTGGGAAAAGTTTAGTTTTTATTCCTCCTCACCGGCGACAGTCGGAGCGGCCATTTTGTTTTCAGTTTGTCTCGTTTTCGTGCACACGATATGTCAGAAACACCTTGATGGAACTTCTTTAAATTTGGTATAAACATTCACTTGGACTCGAGAACTGACTGATTAAACTTTTGGGGTCAAAGTTCAAAGGTCAACCTCAGAAAACCTGGTTTTGGCCTTGTGAACAGCATCTCAGTAAGATTGAGGGAATTTATTCAAATTTGTTAAAAAGGTTCACCTGGACGAACTGACCTCACAAAACAGGAAGTAACCTGAAACTGGTCTGAGTGGAGGCGGAGCTGATTCTAGTTCTCTGTTATAATCTGAATTGATTGGTTCATGAATCCCTTCCCTGGTCACATGACTCCAGCAGGATGCGGTAAAACACAGCTCTTCTTCTGGTGTTTTTTGGTGGTTGGGCGTGTCGCTGCCTCCTGCTGGTGACTGAGTGAACGACGCTCATGATCATTAGTAGAAACAGAAACATTCAGTCGAATGTGTTTATTGATCGATGCTCATTTTTATTTCATGCATTCATGCACAACACTGACAGAGGGGGCGGAGCTTAAAGAGACAGTGCTCAGGGATCAGGTCACATGATGAAATCAGCTTCATCCTATTTCAACATATTTCTTGTGTTTTGAACCTTTTTATTTTAATGGTGGATGTTTGGTCATGGGACTAAAGATGGCGTCCACTCAGTGTGATGTAAAGTTCTCAGCTGACCACAGACTTTACATCATGATGACATCACAAATATGAAACAGACTTTTCAACATCTAATACCACTAGTCACCACAGGGGGCATTAGCAGTCCACACATCCAGGATGCTAATAATCAGTATCCCAGCATTGGTGTCGTGGCGCTGGCCCCGCTGCATGATGGGAGACTCGGAGAAGACAGAGGTCAGAGGTCAGCAGAGGTGAGACGTCAACATTTCCCAGAGGCAGCAGCAGCACAGAGCAGCTGAGCAGGCGGCCAGACACGAGTTCTCAGCTCCGCCCCCACCACCTCCATCCTGCTGGTCCACCATGAACACTGAGAGAGACAGGGGGAGGGGGGGGGGGTCATCAACATCTTTACATCCATCATATTGTTTGTATTCAGACAGTCAGAGCCACCATTTTGTTTTCATGTTGTCTCATTGTCATGGACACGATATCTCAGAAACACCTTGAAAGAACTTGAACTCAACGACCAGCTGATTAGACTTGTGGCTAAAGGTCAAAGGTCAAGGACACGGTGACCTCACAAAATGCAGGTTTGTCCTTGTGAATGTGAATCAGTGAAGTGCAGTGAGAAAAAACCCAGAGGGAACTTGTGACCCCTCCCCCAGCCCCGTGTCTAATGAAAGAAGAAGACACCCCCACAGGTGACAAAGAAAGTCCAGGAAACTTTATGTTAATGAGCTATGACGCAGTTCGGCAGCAACCAATCAGAATGTTGAAGTGCTCCACTCCAGAGAACACTAGAGAACACGAGCTGTGAACAGCCTGTAGCGAATCAGTCAGTAAGGTCACTCATTTAAAACAAACACTTCCTGTTTACACACAGTCAATACTACAGTTGTAAACTGACAGAACTTAGTAGATGCGACCAATGAGGAAACTGTAACACAGTCACCTGGCATTCAGCTGACCAATGCTGGAACTATGATCACTCAGTCAGTCAGGTTGGTGATTATAGGGCTGCTCCTGACTCCACCCCTAACCTCCAGCTAATCCAAAAAAGGTCAAAGAGGTGGGGCAAACATACGCTCCCCCACCTGTCACTCAAAAAGGCCACGCCCCCAATTCTCCATAACTGTAGTCCTTAATAAAATGTAAACAGGTGAGTTATATAAACAGGTGAGTTATATAAACAGGTGAAATGAAGGAGGAAATTAACTCTAGAGACCAAAACAGTTTTTGTACCAGGCTGTAAACATGTTGATTTCTGCTGTAAAGTTGGACATTTTAACATGGGAGTCTATGGGGACTGACTCACTGTTGGAGCCAGACTCTAGTGGTCGTTAGAGGAACTGCAGCGTCTGGTTCTGCATGTTGAAGCTTTATTTCTCTGGCTGAGGGCTTGAAGCTAGCAGGATTAGCCTAGCTCTGCCTGTCTGGAGATGTCGGCCATGTTTTAATGTGCTTGTGCTTAAAGCAGCAGATTCACCTTCATCATGGAAATCCAAGTTTTTTATTGAGCTCATCATCACAACGGTGACAGAAACATGACATCTCACACGTGTACATACAAACATGAAGCAGTGACAGTGGGGGGGGGGTGCACTGAGCGGCCCCTCTGGGGGCATATTAGCTTACATTTATTGTTGGAAAGTTTAAGACAAAACAACCACACACACACGTCTTCTGGAGGTCTGGGGGTCTTGCCCCTCTCTGGGGGGGGGGGCTGTCATCTCATGGTCTGTCCATGTTGACAGTCCCCCTGCTCTAGTCCAGTCAGGACCTGAACCTCCACATTATAAAACAGGCTTTGGTCCTGGATGAAAACATTTTGCCTGATTAGTTTTTTTCTCAGAATCTGTTTCCGCGTAGCGACCGGTGTCGTCACGGCGGCCCTGCTGCATGCTGGGAGACTCAGTGGAGGTCGAGGTCGGGGACAGAGGAGCAGTGAGACATCATGTCCCAGAGGCAGCAGCAGCACAGAGCAGCCGAACAGGCGGCAAGACACGAGTCGTCAGCTCCGCCCTGATCCTGCTGCTCCACCACGAACACTGAGAGAGGGAGCGCCGCCAAAGCTTCATTCAGCAGGTTCTTATCATTTTACTATTTCATTATTATTATTACTATTGTTTTTATATGTGAAATGAGGAGATTGTTATGTTTTTAACTTAAAGTGATTATGACACTGTTCACTCTTACAGAAGACAACATGAATTTCACGTGTAAAAATCACATGTGAACGTGTGGAACGTGTGAACATGGTTGTGAAACGTGTTGGTGGTGTAATGTGTGAAACCTGTTTATATCAGTGAATGTTTATTCTTTGTTTCTTTGTCATGTGACTTTGACCTTTGACCTTTGACCTACCTGTCTGTTTTGGCTGCTCTCCGTACGGCCTCGGACCGTCCCAGTGGCAGGGGGCCCCTGTGGGCCCACCGTGGTACCCCGGGTACCCGGGCTGAGTCATGAAAGCCCCCGGGGGGCCCATGGGCCCCGGCAGCCCCGGCGTCCCAGGGGGCCCGTGATAGTAGGAGTGATCTCCTCCACCTGCGTAGGTCTGAGGGAAGGTCTGCGGAGGAGACGGAGGCAGTTGTCATAGTAACAGTGGTGGCAAATTCAAGTATTAAATGTTTATTTCACAAAACAAACAAGAACATGAAAACAAGAAACACACTGAAGTCATGAGAAAAAATCTTATTAGTTATTATATTTATATTCATAATAAATGTTTTTAATAAATGTCATGTGGATTTGTTGGTTAAACCATGAAATATAAATGATTCATGAATATAAGCGTATAAGCGTATATAAATTTTAAATGTAACATTTTGACCGAAAGCAGTTTGAAGAATGAAGCTGATCGTGTCATTCTGAGCCGATGGTCGTTGCTCTGTGATGAACATGTGACGTCAGTTAAAGTGTCAGAAAATAAAATATTCGTTTTCACTTTGGTTGTTACAACAATAAAACGAGGACGTGATGTTTTTCTGACTCTGATGTGTGAGGAAGAGCAGTGCATGCTGGGTACCTGGTACGACGAGCCAGGGAAGGCTGCAGGCTGAGAGATGAGAGCTGTTAAGACACAACAAGAGGTCACATGATCAAAATAACAGAATTAAAGAATTAAATCTTAGTGGTTTCATCATTAATTCAAACGTTGAATAAAGTGAGAGAAAGTTGTACTGACATCACAATGTTTCCAAATTCATTCATAACATTTCAACAGTAACTCTCATATTTTATTATGATAATAAAGTAATTAATAATTAATAATATTATAATAATATTGATATTTGAATACTCAAAGGGAGGCGGAGCCTTTAGGTTTGAAATGATCAAGTGAAGAAAGTTACAGGATTCAATGATGATTAAATCAGTAAAGCTGAAGAAATCATAATAATAAAAGTCTTGTATCGTGGTTAAAATAACATCATATTTATTAACATTAATAAATACTTTTTAATAAATATAAATATTTAAAATCTGTGACGAACCTGGAGGGTAACCGGGGGCCGAGTGTCCCTCTGGGAAATGAGGACGATACGGAGGAGGCTGTTCCCCGTTCATCTGGACGGATGATGATGATGATGGTGATGATGATGATGGTGATGATGATGATGATGATGATGATGATGATGATGGTGATGATGATGATGATGATGATGATGGTGATGATGATGATGATGATGATGATGGTGATGATGATGAGTAGACTCTAAGAGAGGAAAGAGATAAATAACAGTTACATCTTTTTAAGGCGTTTATTCTTTAGATGCTAAAATTTTGTTTTAATGAAAATACTTTATTTTAGTAAAATGAGTTTTCTCTGTGGCGCCACCATCAGGACACTTTACCACACAACACGCGTGTGCATGTGTGTTTGTGTGTTTGTGTGTTTGTGTGTGTGTGTAAACAGGTTTCTGAACAACATGCTGATGGAGCTGCTCTGAGATCAGCTGATTCACTGATTCATGTTGGAAAATAACTGACAACATTCACTCGGCTCTCACACTTTAACCCTCGATTCAGAATCAATAATCAATATATAAAGGTGTAATAACTGCTTTATAACAGAAGCAGATAATGTTATGTTGTGTGTCATGTTATTACGATGATTACATAAACTACAGTAACTTTACAGATGTTTACTGTTGAATGTTACACAGCTGTTAAAAACAGCTGTTCCTGTACGACCACATTAAAACACAGATTTTAAACATCTATTATAATATTCCACTTATAAATCTACAATATGTAAAGACGTGTGTCAGAAACGTTTACATTTGTTTAATGTAAAATACCAAAGTTGTTTTAATAAACATAAAACTAACCATTAATTAACTCGATCATTTTACATCATATGAATAGAGATGAAATAATGAGTAAATTAAAATTAGAAATGATAAAATTATAGAATTAGAAATGAATTAAAAGTCATAATATATATATATATAGGTATATAAACATAAAACGACAACCAAGATTGTTCTGCTGATTGTGTGAAGATTAATATATATATATATATAATCATCAGTTGATCTGATGATAAATTTACATATAAACTACAAAACTTTAAAACTGCTTCTGTCTGAGTGAATGAGGAAGTGACTGTTTCCACTGAGGGATCAGTCTAATGTCTGGTCAGCTGCCTTCATACCAACTCTAATCTAATCTACCGGTTTCCATGACAACCGCGGTGCAGAGACAGAGCTTCTCTGCATCTTATTGTTGACTAAACAGACATGTTGTTTGTTCTGAGGAAACTGTAAACTGGTTTCCAGTTAGACCAGTTAAGGGCCTGCTCTCCCAGCTGTCAGTAAACACAACATCACGTGACACCGTCATATATTTCACATAGATTTATATTTGACTAAAAACAGTTGGAGTCAGCTCATCAATGGCGCCAGATGTTAGTGATAAACAAACATGTTTGTGGGACAAAAGATAATCGTCATCACATCAACCAATTAAAAAGCTTCAGAGTCATTTCATCGTCAAGTTATTCAGTGACGTCACACAAGCCTCAATAACTTTTGGAATTTGGCGCGTGAGACAGTTTAAATACAAACTGAATCTTCATCTGAAATAATGAACTCTTTAATGACGTCACAGTTTCTATTCATCTACAGCTCGTTAAATGAAATGGATCTTCAGTCTGATTCAGGATCAGATTCAGATGTTTAGCTGCTCAGGTCTGAATGTTTCATGACGACACAACTAACTTTTAATGTTTAATACTCAGCTGACCGTCGCTGCCTCACGCGCTGCTTCACGCGCTGCCTGGCGTTCAGACCTCCTCCGTCACCGTCCAGGTACAGGGCGGGAGTTCAGTGATGAGGCCGAACTGAGACCAAGACCAGAACAAACCCAGATAATGGATCCAGCTGTTTCCCGTGAGCCTGGTGACGTCACTTTACATCAGATCAAATTTAAATTGTTGTATTTCTCAGCGGAGTTTGGCGCGTGTGAACTTACCTTGGCTGCTCTGTCGGACTGATGGATGATGAGCGCGAGGACACAGCTGGCAGAGGCACGAGGACAGGGTGAGGTCTGACACCTCCCAACACCGCTGCTCTCCCTCCCTCTCTTTTTCACCTCCTCCACCCCTCCCATCCTTCCTTCTCCTCCTCCTCCTCCCCCCACACCCCCCCTCCTCCACCTCTCTCCTCCTCCCTCCTCTCCCTGCTGAAGTCTTTTATTATTGAGTTTATCACTGAAACAAAGAAACTGTTTTTATACGATATTATTCTTTAATAATTATGTAGTTAATAATTAATTAAACTGTTAATTATGTTTCATTCCAACATTTATCTAAAGGAGTGTCTTCCTGACAGTTACCCCCCCCCCAGGTGTTTTTCTGTCACCGGTTGAACACCGGTTGAAATCAAACAACCTGCAGCGTTTGGACTCGAACCTGTTTGGAGTGAAACTGAAACAACAACACAATGAAGATTATTTGTCCTGCAGGTGATAGTCGGAGCCCGAGGGCTGTGGCTATCGTTTGATCAGAGGCTCATCCTGTTGAGTCTCTGGGTGACGTCACAGCTGATCAATAGACACAGGGGAGTCACTGAGGTTTTACAAGTTAATAACAACAACAGCAACATATTACAAAATACATTCATTAATATTATGTTATTTACTCAAGTTTTATTTTAATGTATTTTTGTTTATTGTTTGAATTTTACTGTTTATTGTTCAAATTTGTCTTTCTTTATTTTATGAAACAGTTTGAGTTTCATCTGGTGAATGAAAGCTGCAATAAAAATAACATGATTATTATTTTATTATTATTATTATGATCTATGAAGCACTAATTAATGATCTATGAACCGTATTCACACTGAATCAAAAGTGACTCATTACAAAGTTAAACATAAAAAACAGTCTGAACTTTAACTTTTACTTCCTGTTTTTCATTCTGATGAATTTACACAATAAAGCTACATTTGATCAACAAGTATAATAATAGTAATGATAATAATAACAATTGTAATAATAATTGATCTGTTTCTGTTGATTTGTTTCCTCACAGACGGAGGGAAGGTGTGACGGACTGGACTCAGGTCTGACAGGTGTGTTCTCAGCCTCACCTGGTCTCATATTGTGTCTTCACAGATAAAATAAAGGTTTGATGAATGTCAACATGTAAACAAAGAGTAAATATGATTAAAGGATGAGAAGACAGAGACATGTTTCTGTTGTTTATTTGACTTTTTGGTTCATTTACTGACATCATTGATTTCTCTTTCTGCAGATCTACAGACATGAAGACACTGGACTGACCCTGAAGCTCCTAGCTACAGGTGCTCCGGCCAATCAGGACGCAGCTGTTGACACTGTGTTACACTCAGTGTTGTGTTCGTGAACATCAAGTCCAGCTGTACATTCAGTAACACGTTGATACAGTAAAGTTCCTGCTCTGTAAGAAATGGTTTCCAGGATACGTTCAATGACTCTCCATGCTGTCCATGCAAAAACTGCAGAGTGTCAAACTGTCCTTGACTTTCACTAAAATAAACTGAAGTAAACGTGGGTGTGTTTGTGGTGTGTTCACTGACCTCCTCAGGAGGCGTTTGGGAGCTCTTACATAACAGAACTGTTGGACTGCTCCTTAACTGTTGTTTGGATGGTAAACACCTCCATCTCCACTACATCAGCTCCACCATCTGTTTGTCTTTGTAAATGTGTTTGACCAGGACGGAGCATCAGACCCCCGTCTTTAAAAAACACCAACCTGAATAAAGTTGTTACATTCAAGAAGAAAGTTCTTTAAAATGTCTTTAAAATATGACTCTGTCTGAAACATTATGACTTTATTTTTCTTTTTTCTTCACTTTTTCTCAATATTAAGATTTTATTCCTTAGGCTAATAAATATTAATAATCTTCTAATAATGATATTCTGCAGAATGACTGTATTCTCAAAATGTTACTTGTTCAAACTGTGACAACTTTTCCTCCTGATTAAACTTTGTTTTTCTAACATTAAACTTTATTGAAATCTCAGATTGTATTTTTCTTGTATTTTTATCATGTGAACAGCTATAACCATGGACACCTGTTACATCACCACCTCCCGTCATGTGACCTGAACATGGAAAAATAAACAGGTAAGTGGATAAGCGTTACATCGTTGGTCTTTCTGCCCTCTCCTGGTCACAATGTGTCACTGCAGCTTTAAAACCTGACGATTAAATCTCTACATATGAAGCTTGAAGCGAGTACATACAGGATACATGTCTGACGTCCAGTGACGATGCTTCTCTTCTCTATCTTGTCTCTAAGTTTCACTCTTTTGAAGGGAGGTCAGGGGTCAGGGGTCAGAGGTCGGAGGTCGGGGAGGTTATGTTGAAGGGTTATTCCAGGGCTTCTCTAACATGAACATTAAGATATTGGACTAAAGCTAACTCAGCTGTGTCTCAATCCACGTACTTCACAACACACAGCTGGTTCACTCAACACTTCTCACTCTAACGGTCGCCATCTTGGCTCCGTAGCAGAAGGGGAGGGGCCACTTACGTATTTTCAAACTTGTGAGAATGACGGCAGAGGAAGGAGGACACGACAATGGCGCAGATGGCGGCAGAATTTCCACGTCTCGTGACACGGGAAAGTAAAACGTTCATTTTAAGTCAAGTGAGTAAAGCAGCCGACGGCCGGGAAACAGCCGTGGTCACGTGCATTTCCGGTGAGTGCACGACAGCAGAGTGCTACGCTGTCAGACGTCACAGGGAGTTTTTGCTTCTGGGTTCTGTTTTCCGGAGCTCGTCAGGAGGAGAGGACAGCAGCCGAACTCCGAGGTTCACGCATGCGCATTGAAGATAACCGTGTGATCTTTGGTGAGAAGCAACAGCCACAGTGAGCTTCACTCAGCTTCTACCACTCAGACATTAGTCGTGATATTCAGCATCATGCGCAGACGTGTGTATAAACTAAACATTAAGAGGCAGCAGCAGCAAGTAAACGAGCTAATGATGCTAATTTATCATTTCTGTGTGACATCAGGGAGAGAGGGAGAGAGCGGAGAAGAGTTAGCTAGTTAGCAGCTAGTTAGCAGTGTAGCTGTGAACGTGCAGTGTGATGTACGTGAACTTTAGGCCGTTGGTCAGTTTGTCACCTCCATACTGAACATTTGATATGTGATCAGCTGCTCGGTTCCTTCGCTTCCCTGTCTGTTCCACAGAGTACTACATGAGTATAGAGTGTACACAGAGTACTACGTGTGAGTATACACAGAGTACTACATGAGTATAGAGTGTACACAGAGTACTACGTGTGAGTATACACAGAGTACTACATGAGTATAGAGTGTACACAGAGTACTACATGTGAGTATAGTGTGTACAGTGTACTACATGAGTGTAGAGTGTACACAGAGTACTACATGTGAGTATAGTGTGTACAGTGTACTACATGAGTGTAGAGTGTACACAGAGTACTACATGTGAGTATAGTGTGTACAAAGTACTACATGAGTGTAGAGTGTACACAGAGGACTACCTGTGTGCAGTACCTGAAGTACCTGGTTTGAGACACAGATCTTAGAGTTGAACACAGACGACCGTTCTGGACCTTGTTGTCCAGGTCCACAGGTCTGAGGTCTCATTGATCCGTCCTCTGTGTCCTCAGATGTCGTCTAGTCACCTGACCTTCATGCTGTTCACCCCAGAGACCTGGACTTCGTGGCAGCTCAGGTGAGACTAACATGGTGACGGGCGGTTCAGGTGTGTCTCTGGTCTGACAAACAGGAAACGAGGCGACTGTGGTCGTGTTGGCGTCGCTGGTGATGTGAAGGTCAGACCACCAGAGCCATGAGTTCAGCCACTGAGGTGTGGGTCTGGACCGTGTCCTCGCTGTCATGGTCTTTGTGTGTTTCAGTCCTGGAGGACTGGAGGCCACCTGGAGTCCCACCTCTGCTGACGTATAGCTCTGATGGCCCCGCCCCCGTCATTAGGAGGTGGCAGTCTGTTTGTTGCGAAAGGTTTCGAAGAACGCCATCATCCCCTTCCTCACGCTTCTGCTGTTGCCCTTCGTTATCCTTGGCGTCAGCATGGTGGAGCCACTGCCGCCATGGTAACGGGACGTAAGAGGAGGAAAAGCTGCGCCGTCCATGGAGTTGGCCCGTTTGACCTTTGACGGGTTCGCACGCCACGACTTGGACCTCGGAGGAGGAGTCTGAGCCACCAGACACTTCTGATACTGAACCTGACAGACAAGAGAGGACTGTTAGAGGATCCAGACAGGAAGTAATGTCATGACACCACTGACCAATCAGTGTTGACCTGACCTCAGCAGGTGGAGGACTGAAGCAGACAGGAAGTGATGTCATAAAACCAAAACCAGGAGATGATCAAATTTAATGTTAACACAAAAAACACTGATTAGTAGAGATTCAAGTGAAGAGAGACAAACAACAACAACAACGAAGACAACGACAACAAAAACAGCAACAGAAACAAACAACAACAAAGACAACAACAGCAAAAATAACAGAGACAAACAACAACAGAAACAAACAGATGCTCAGACAGACAGACTGACAGACAGGTGTCTCACCATACATGCAGCCTGGACGGCCTCAGAGAGGATTCCTGCGTCTGGTTCACACCAGAACACATGACACTCAAATCTCTGCGTGCCGCCATCGACGATCACGGCGAAGGTGTGGCAGTCGTGGCCGACGCCCAGAAAGGTGAGGAATCGTACCTGACACTCCCAGAACGGCTCCTCCCCTTCCTGTGGGGATCAGGTGACACAGATTAGACAGAGCTGTGATGACCTTTGACCTGGCAGGCTGACAGTGTGTGATAGCTGTACCTCTCCCTTCCACAGAGACAGGACGTTGTCAGTGACGTGGATCACCGTCGGCTCCCAGTCGTCTCTGTCTGTGGAGTTCATGATGCTCTCAATGGCTCGGTTCAACACCTCCATACCTGCAGCACACACAGGTACAGGTACAGTACAGGTACAGGTACAGCACACTGTCAGCAGGTGTGTCCAGGTGTAACAGGTATGTTCAGGTGTTCTCAGGTGTGCTCAGGTATGTCATGGTGTAACAGGTGTAACAGGCATGTTCAGGTGTGTTCAGGTATAACGTGTGTTCAGGTGTATTCAGGTGTGCTCAGATGTAACAGGTGTGCTCAGGTGTAACAGATGTGTTCAGGTGCAACAGGTATATTCAGGTGTTCTCAGGTGTGCTCAGGTGTGTTCAGGTGTAACTGATGTGCTCAGGTATAACGTGTGTTCAAGTGTAACAGGTATGTTCAGGTGTAACAGATGTGTGCAGGTGTAACAGGTATGTTCAGGTGTGCTCAAGTATGTTAAGGTGTAACAGGCATGTTTGGGTGTGTTCAAGTGTAACAGGTGTGTTCAGGTGTAACAGGTATGTTCAGGTGTAACAGGTGTGTTCAGGTGTGACAGGTGTGTTCAGGTGTAACAGGTGTGTTTCCTACCCATGGCTCTGGACACCGGCAGGTTACCAATGTACTGGACCTCGAACTTCTGGACCTGCTGCCGAACAGCCTCCAGAAACTCAACTGAAACAACAACAGGTAATCAGCAAAGTACCAATCAGAGAGTAGCAGGTGTTCTCAGAGAAGTGAACAGGTGAGTCACCTTGTCTGGGCAAGTCTTCAGGTGAGATGCTCTCCATGGTCAGAGAGCGAGACGGCCTCATCAGCGTCTTCTCTGACATCATCTACAGACAGAACGTTCACACATTTATCCTGGAGCAGAGGCGAAGCACCAGTCAGACAGCCAGGGTTTCATACGTCATAAACCTCAGGAACCAATCCTGTGGGGACGGGGGCGGGACTAAATAAACCTGAAACCTCGTCAATACAGAGAGCGTGAGTTAGCATTAGTGCAACCGCTAACATTGTGTCAGCCACTGCCCATTAGAAGCTAACAAACAACATAAACAAATAAAAGACGCTAACTACACTAACCATTCTGAAAAGATGCTAACTGCGCTAACAGTCCTGAAAAAATGCTAACTACGCTACCTGTTCTGAAAAAACACTAACTGTGCTAACGGTTCTGATCTGTCTGCTTATCTTTGGATCTGGTCTCAACAATCTCCTCCTCTGAGTCTGGGTCTGACTGAGGCTCAATCATCTTCATACTCTCTGCTCTCTCACCTGGAGCAAGCAGGTGGTGGGCGGGGCTCGAGGCCTGATCCAGATTTCTCAATCAGGAAGTGAGAGGAGATGAAACCATGTGAAGCTAAATATGAATCACAGCAGAGGATTTTCACAGACTTTAAACAGGTTGTTTCAGAACCTGCTCCCTCACTGACCTTGGAGCACATCTCATGTAGAGCGCTGGCGATGGCTTTGGCTGGAGCGTCGCAGCGAAACACGTGACACTTCAGCACACAGCTGTCCTTATCTCCCGCCACGAAGGCAAAGTCCCTGAACACAACACACACACACACACACACACACACACACACACACACACACACACAGGGGTCAGGTGGTTGTAGTCGACCAGCTGATGGACAGGTGATCATGTGATCAGCGGGTTAAATGGATGAATGACCCTGACGTATAGAGGAGGTGGAGGGAGTGTAACTGTGTGTGTTCCTGGAGGTAAAGGTAGAGTGGTTTACCTGTCCCTGCCCAGGTGGGGGGGGGGGGCGTGTTAAAGAAACAGAGAGAGTGACAGTGTTAGTGAGAACAAACAGGTAAACAAACTGAAAGGTGAGTTTGATTTTAACATCTGAGCGTGCAGAAACATGTCAGATGAAAACCTGCTATCTCCTGGTGTTTGGAGAATAATAAACCAGCTGGAACACACTGAACATTAAACACATATTATTTATCAATGTTGGTTTGAAAAAAATACTCTGTTCTCATCACAATAACAATATCTCATAATAACGTGTTGTCATGGTAACACACTGCACTGCTGTACAGACACACAGGTGGAGAGGAGGACTGACACATCTGATTGGCTCACCTGCCGTTGTTGCAGCCCACCCCCCAGACACGGATGTTGATGATTGGTTGACAGTGGAGGGGGGTGTGGTCTAATGGGTCCAACAAGCTCAGAGTGTCTTTCTTCAGAACCAGCATCATCTCCCGACCCTGCACACACAGACAGGTCAGTACAGTGGTCCACAAGAACCAGGTCCCAGCAGTTTAAACAGGTATAAGAGCGTGTGTCATTATAACACTGAGCACAGCGCGTGGCGCTCGGCTCCTGGAGCTTCTGGGTCAAAATCTCTAAACTTTTCAGAAGGTGCTGATGTCATCACTATAGCTCCTTTTTAGGCAACCAATCAGATGAGGCGGGATACAAAGGAGAAGCTTGTTCTGTCTGTGTATGATGTGTCGGACTGGAACTATCACAACAGTGACAGAGAAGCTTTTATCACTGTACACACTGTAAACTGGTTGTTAGCTGGTTGTTAGCTGGTTGTTAGCTTTGTATTGTCATGTTGATACCTGTGTAGTCGTAGTGTAGTGATGCTAGTCTGTCATATGTTGTCAAGATCTTGTTTAAACAAAACCCATACACAGCTGAACACTGTCTGGACCCTCGGTCTGAACAGTCTGTGATGGATCCAGACTCTGGACTCACAGACAAGTTCAGGTTCAGCAGGTGTCTCACCTCCCCCGAGGCTCCCAGCCTGTCTCTCTGCTCGGGGCTGCTGCAGTGAGACAGCTGCTGGATGACGTTACTGACAGCGAGACTGCTGCGACCTGGAGACAGGTCCTCCTCCTCCACCTGCAACCAGCCCAGTGAACGCACCGCAAAACACTGACAGGCAGACAGACAAGGGAGAGGGAGACAGACAGACAGGCAGGCAGACGGGGTAGAGGGAGACAGGTAAAGGAGGGAGAGAGGGAGACAGATGATGAGATTAAGTGGTCAGTGAGTTGTTGGGTGACAAACATGGAAACCAGGACACAGAGAGAGAGAGAGAGATTAAATCAGATTAATGCTAGATTAATGTAAAATTGTGGTAGAGAGAGGTAGACACAAAGCAGGGGAGAGAGAGAGATTAGTAGATCAGACCACAGTGGAGTGGAGCAGCAGCTCTCAATCACTTTATCTATTTGATCAGTTTGATCAGTTACACGTCGTCTCCTCAAGATGTCATCCTTACCTTCCTCTGACATCACAGAGAATTTCTGCTTCTATAAACAAGATGGCCGCGACTGTTTCACTGAGATTATCTCTGAGTATGAACTGTACCTTGGAGTCAGGGTCGTGGCTGGAGAGATAATCTTCATGCCATGACGACCTGAGAGGAAAACAGAGTCCATGTGTCACAGCATGTAAACAACAACATGTGGAAGGTCCTCAGAACTGAGAGTTACCTGTCCTCAGGTGGGCCGTCTGTCTGTCTGTTGGAACTCTGCTGTCCAGCTTCCTCCTGCTGAGACACAACACCACCGAAGAAGAACTCCAGACGTCTGCCTCACACAAATCTGAGCAAACTGAGCTAACTCGGCTAACCTAGGATAACTCAACTAACCCAGGATATCTCAACTAACCCAGGATATCTCAACCAACCCAAGATAACTCAACTAACCCAGGATATCTCAGCTAACCCAGGATAATTCAACTAACCAAGAATAACTCATTTAACCCAGAATAACCTGTTCTAAATGTTCTAACATTTCTAAATTATCTAACCTGTTCTAAATGTTCTAATCTGTTGTAAATGTTTCAACCTGTTCTAAATGTTCTAATCTATTCTAAATATTCTAATCTATTCTAAATGTTCTAACCTGTTGTAAACGTTTCAACCTGTTCTAAATGTTCTAATCCGTTTCTAAATGTTCAAACATATTTTAACATGTGTTAAAATGTTCTAAATGTTCTAACCTGTTCCAAATGTACTGACTTGTTCTACCATGTTCTATCTTGTTCTAAATGTTCTGACCTGTTGTAACTTGTTTCAAATGTTCTAAATGTTCTGACCTGTGTGTCGACAGGCTGGGGCATCCCAGTGAGGCGGGGGTGTTGCCACTGGGTGGTGCCAGTGGGAACATGCCAGTAGTAGGTTCCTGTTGAGTCTTTGATGGTTCTCCAGCCGGAGGGGAGGTCTGGGTCCAGCAGCAGGTTCTGGTCAGTCCAGATGTTGTCTGCAGAGACACAAACATTGTCAACATGTGTCCTCCAGCTGTTAGCCAACACCCTGATGACCTGCACTGACCAACAGGCTGATTCCACTACTAAACTTTAAACTGTGAGGGAGGGCCTGAGGGAGAGAGGGACAGGTGTGTGCAGGTGCTCTAAGAACTACAGGAAGTTGGTCTGTTGTAGTCTGGCTGCTGATCAGCTGATGGAGGACATTCAGGTAGAACACCTGACTGCAGCACTGTGACTCACAGCTGAGCACACTCGATGCACAGTGACTCATAGTCCTGATTGGACAACCAGCCACTGTCCAATCAGCTGACAGTCTGAAGTAGACAAGCTGATTGGTCAGGACTCCTCAGAACAGCTGCTCTGATCAGCTAATAATAATATGGGCTATTGATCAGCTATGATAACTTGTCAGCAGTAAATCAATCCCCCACTCTCCTCCTCTTCCTCCTCCACTCTGAGTCTGCAGTAGAAGGTGACCTGAAGCAGGAGTGTCGTGTTTCATCGCTCAACATGTTCTTCTTCATATCATTTACAATGCAGCTCTGTTTCTACCTCAGAGACCATAACACACCTCAACCTCGTCTCTAATAGAAACATGTGACTGGTGCAGCCTGTTGAGGGTCATCTCCCTGTCAGACACTGATCAGGGCACAAAAACATGAAAACTGAAGAAATCAACCAAACAACTGGCACAGAACAACCTCCGCACAGCCGCCATGTCGCCGCGGTGTTCACTGTTGATGGGAGTTTACAACTTTAGGGTTGTTGTTGTTGTTGCTGTGTTGTATTGTGTTGTTGTTGTTGTTGTTGTTGTATTGTTGTTGTTGTATTGGGTTGTTGTTGCTGTGTTGTTGTTGTATTGTGTTGTTGTTGTTGTATTGTTGTTGTTGTTGTTGTTGTTGTATTGTGTTGTTGTTCCTGTGTTGTTGTTGTTGCTGTGTTGTTGTGTTGTTGTTGTATTGTTGTGTTGTGTTGTTGTTGTTGTATTGCGTTGTTGTATTGTGTTGTATTGTTGTTGTTGTATTGTTGTGTTGTATTGTTATTGTATTGTGTTGTTGTTGTTGTTGCTGTGTTGTTGTATTGTGGTGTTGTTGTTGTGTCGTCACCAGCAGGGGGTGACAGTCATCAGAGTTCAAACTGCTGAACAGGACGAGAGGAAAGATGAGAAACTGAAGTTGAATAATTAATAAACCCTCAAAAACACAAAATGCTGAATCAGCTGATTGAGAGACACTGATATGACCAGAGGGGGGAGGGGCGAGTGAGACAGTCAATACACACTGACCAGCAGAATACACCACAGTCAGCAGGTAAAACCAGTTTAAAACCAGTTTAAAACTTTAAAACTAAAAAACGAATAAAAAACTATTTTAACTCATTTTGAATACTTTCTTTATCTGACATCAAACAGACTTTTACTTTGGAAGTACAGTTTGTGAACTGTATCAGCTGTTTGAGTCAGACAGAGCAAAGTGTAAGTGCCCAAAATAAAGGTCTGTTTGACAGGAAGGTAAAGCAGTTAAAAATTTCAAAATAAAGCAAACACTTAGAGTGTTATTAGCCTTGCCCACAGTTACCTAAATCTACTGACTCTAGATCAGAACCTCACACAGCAGGCTACAAACTACCCATAATGCACCACTCTGTCAAACAGTCTCCATTCAAAAAGAGGATCAGAGTGAGTGAAACAGTATTTGTGGTCCTCAGATAAAAGATCAGTTCACTGTTTCAAAAATAATCAATCAGTTCTGTCCAATTAAAAAACTGTCCAACATTTAAGACACTGTCCCCACATGTCCATCACATGTCCCCCACATGTCCACCATATGTACTGTGTGTGTGTACTTCTATCTTAGTGAGGTCCTGACCTTTTTCCAAAATTAGGTCACATGACTGATAAAGTGAATCCAGTGACCAATCAGAGGTTTCAGAAAGCTGTAAAAGAAAATCCACTGAGGCCCTTCCCTCCTTAGTTACAGTTGCTAACCTGTGCATCATTCCATCCCAGAACATCACACACTTCACCTTGGTAACAGCCATCAGTTTCTACTGAAGTAACAAGAAGCAGCAGGTTTCATCAGCTGTAGCTAGCTAGCTAAGGAAGCTAACACTAGCTCCATTTGTTGGTTGTAACAGTGTCTGAATTATCCAGTGTGTCACTACACTCTGCTCACAATCCCACAATGCAATTCTCTACAGCGTACACTCGACAGCTGGAATTATGATGTTTCAAAAAACACATGTTCAAACACCAGCGTTTAATCATCTCTACTTCTCTACTTTATCTAATTATATTTATTCTAATCTATTTTGTATTGTGTTTGTTTTTTATCTTTCACTGTGTTATAAAGTCTGTAAATCAAGTGATTTCATTGAATAGTTATTAATTTGTAAAAAAAAAAAGTCCCTGATCATTTGATTTAATTCATGTAGTAATAATATAATATTCTGTGAGCGGTTTATAAACCGTCTTTAGGACAGTGATGATGGTTACTGTTGCTCTAAGAGAAATACAGTTCTTTCTTTTCTCTTGGATCAGTTGAAAAGTATCTCCAACTTTAGCTTGCTCCTTCAGCGCCCCGCGCCCCACGTTAGTTATCAGGTGTCCAGGGGCCTCAGCTTATCGGCCCCGGGACCTCCAGCAGGTTTACATGAGGCTGCAGCTGCTGAAGCAGGATACAACAGGACGGTCCTCATAAGCCTGTGGGACTACAGGGACCTGTGTGTGTGTGTGTGTGTGTGTGTGTGTGTGTGTCTGTCTTACCGTCATAGTTGACTATGATGATGGCCAACATGTAATCCTTGCCCATCATGGCTCCGCCCTCCAACATGTGTGTTCCAATCAGCTTATCTCACACTCACACACACACTCTCACACACACTCACACTCACACACAGGCCCAGATGACAGATGTTAAAGCCTCCTGCTCGTCTCTCTCTCTCTGTCTGTCTGTCTGTCTCAGGGTCTCTCGTCCCTCCGTCTGTCCCTCTCTCAGTCGACACCATCAGTCTTTTTCTTCTTCTTTTTTATTTTCTCTCCGTCCCGGCGTTTTCTCTCTCTCCTCTCATTTGTCCCTCCTCTTGCTCGTCCTCTCTCGTTCTCCTCTCTGTCTGATGAAGGATGCTGTTTTCCTCCTCCCCCTCTCTCCCTCCCTCCCTCCCTCTCTTCTTCCTGCTGATGTCATCGCTCCCCTCCCTCTCTGACTTCCTGCTCGTTTGCCCTTCACTGTAAAATCATGACATTAAAACACGTTTGAATCTCAGAGTCGCAACTAAACTGACAATAACATTAAACTTGAATAAATATTCATATTAAGAAACAAAATTTATGGTTTTTGGAAATTGAAAAAAGGTGTTGAACTGAAAATCTGTGCGTTTGTGATTGATCATAAACTCACATGGAAACAACATATTGATTATATTAAAGAAAAATATCCATAAATCAACATAATTTCTGTATAAATCTGGGGATATATTAAATAATCACACCTTGTATTTAATTCACTGTTCACTTATTCTTCCCTATATTACTCACTGTGTGTGTGTGTGTGTGGGGGGGGGGGGGGTCTTTAAAACAAGTATAAATTCAATAGTCTGATACAGAAACGAGCCGTACATATTATTGATCAGGCCAATGACTGTGATCACTCTGATCCACTGTTCCTAAAATCTCCTGCTGTGACATTTAATGATTCAGCTTATTATAAACAATAACATAATGTGTACACAGGGAGAAAACAAGGATTAACATGTTTCTATTGTTGGTCTTAAATTACAGAACAATATTCATTTACATTTTAAAATTATGTCTGATGACTAAATAAAAACTGCTATTATTATTTATTAAATAGGCCTACACGACTTTAAGGACATAAATGTCACATGCTGTTATTAACAATAATTTGTAGTCATATTATTAATTGATCAATGTGACCTGAACATATGAATGGATTACTGAGCCCAGGTTCCTGAGCATCTGTCTATAGGAAGACTGTGAACACCTTGTACTGATTGTATTAAAATGTTTATTAATAATTAGATATAGTATGGTTCATTATCATTAAATATTTAATTAATTAAGTAGTTATAGAAAATATATTGAATTAATGTACAGATGCTTAATGAGACCAGTGTAATTACATTTATATACTTCATTTAATCACATTATATTTTTATTTCATCACATTATATAGTTCATTTAATCTGAAAGTCACACTGAGATCAAGATCTCATTTACATGTGAAACCAGAAAAATAAAACAAACAAACAAAATCTGAATATTTGAAATACAAATTCACACTCAGGTATGTATTCATACAAATTGTTTCTATAAACAGTGATCAGAGTGTATATTTAAATGTATGTCATTTAATTGTATTTAATTTATTTATGCAAGTTTATTAGGACGGATATATATATATTCATGTATATACATATGTCTACAATATAAACATACATATATAAACATGCAAAAGACATGTCAATATTTGATATATATTTGATATATGACAATTATTTTAGTATATGTCATATATAGAAACCAGTGGCGATTGCTCTAAGATGCAGGGGAAGCTCAGTTTCCCCTAAAATGTCAACAGAATAAGTGGTCAAATATGTGCTGTTGTGTGAACATTTCATTGACTAAATATGCGCTAGAACACGTTCATCTTTTGTTCAGAATCAGCTGCTTATCACAGGTAACCGACACGACTTCCTTCTCATTCATCCCCGCAGCGCCACAGCGCTTTACACAGTGTAGACGCCGAGCGTCTCCTGACTTCAGTGGGAAGCACAGAGTGGGTTGTTCCACTGCAGCGAAACTAGACGGTCATTGGATAAATGCTGGACTTTGTCCCGCCCATCGGACGCTCAGCGTCTCTGGGGGTCTATGGGGCAGGGGCTGGCCCGGACGCTCGGCTTCTGCATGATGATTGGATGATCTGTCTGAGGCTGAGTCCGTTTTTGATTGACAGCGAAATGAGCGAATCAGCGATCTTGAAGTTTAAGCATCCACCGGAGCATTTTTCATGTTTTTCATTCCGTTGTTCGGAGTTGATCTGGAGACGTTACTGATCCTCAGCCACTTTGTCTTTGTTAAAAACGACTAGCGTTGTGTTTGGCGACTCTCTTCTGTCACTCTGCGAATTTACATATAAATAAACGGACACATATTATGACGTAGGCCGAAAATGAGCTTCCCCTCCTTATAAGACCAGCAGCCGCCACTGATAGAAACATATATCACATTTGAAAGTACAAAGAACTCATAAAGAACAGACATATGTTTTCTTTTTGTTTTACCTTCTCTAGTGTGATAAACTACCTGAAGCTCTCCAGAGGTCACACTACTACATGACGTCAGAAGAGATATGAAACTAGCCACGTGTCCCGGAAATGTTTTGACGGCAGAATGTGCGTGAAGCTCGACAACATTACAGGAGGTCAGATAAATTCTCCTTCAAAGTAAAAGCATGTAGATGATCGTTTTCAACCAAGTACAAGGAAATCAATGCATCATAATATTCATTATATTATTATCATTATTATTATTGTTATTATTATTATTAGTGGTAGTAGCAGTTGTAGTTGTAGTATTCATAAAAGAAAACTTAGATAGATAGATACTTTATTTATCCCCTAGGGAAAATTCATGTGTCCATTAGCTCATTGTTGATAATAATGATAATAATAATAATAACAGTTGATAATAAATGAACAATAATAATTAGATTAGGCCACTTCCTTTGGCTGAGGAACAAAGGATCTCCTGAACCTCTCTGTTCTGCAGTGAGATGAGACATTTGCTGCAGCTGTAGCTGCTTCTCTGTCCTGCCAGAATGTTGTGGAGAGGATGGTTGGTATTATCCAAGATGGCCTCCATCTTACATTGCATGCGTCTCTCCACAACAGTCCTGAGTGAGTCCAGACTCCTGCAGCACAGACTCAGCCTTTGTGTTCATGTCTGACATGCTGCTTCCCCAGCAGACTGCAGCATTAAAGAGTTCACTGGCCACCACTGATTGATAAAACATGCAGCATTTCACTGCAGACGTCAAAGGACCTGAGCCTCCTGAGGAAAAAGAGCCGGCTCCGCCCCTTCAGGTAGATGGCATCTGTGTTCAGGGACCAGTCCAGTTTACTGTCAAGGTGCACACCTAGGTATTTATAAGAGTGCAGCACCTCAATGTCCTTCCCTCGAATGTTGACTGGCTGAAGGGCCTAGACCTCCGAAAGTCCATGACCATCTCCTTGGTCTTGGATGTGTTCAGAAGGAGGCAGTTCTTGTTGCTCCATTCACTGAAGGCCATCGTCAGATCCCTGTACTCCTCTTCCTGCCCCTTCCTGATACACGCCGAAATAGCTGTGTCATCTGAGTATTTCTGGATGTGGCAGGACTCGGAGTTGTATTTAAAGATGGCCGTATACAGGGTGAACAAGAACTGAGCCAGAACAGTCCCCTGTGGAGTCTCAGTGCTGCTCATCACTGTCTCTGAGACTTTGTCAAACTCTTATTTTTGTTGCTGTTTTTACTCACACACTTGCTCATACTGAAGGGATATGTTATTTCTGCTACTGTATGCATTGTATGATTAAAAGGGTGAATCAGCCTTAAACTATATGAACTATGTGAACATTGTGACATTGTCTGCCGTTTGAGATTGCAGAATGACGTACAAGGACAGAGAGGACGAGAAAGTACGATGATAACATGCTTAGATAGCAGGATGTGCAGTTAAGATGCTGGGTTCGGTCGGGCTGTGCGAGAAGAGGGGGAGTGATGAGAATGTGAGAATGTGTATAAGAGTGAGTGACTGAAACAAGGGAGGGCTGCACTCTGCTTAGACAGGCGAGAGGAGAGCAGTGTGAGTCCAGAGCTCTGTAAGCAATCTCAGACTTCTATGCTTGGCTATACTTGTAATAAATTAGACGTGTTGAACTTTAAATCTGTGTCCTGCATACTTCATCAAACGAACACGCGAGTCCGGTTTTGCTGCGAAATAATAGTGGACTCAACAATACTTATGCTTGATATTGATGAAAAATAGAGGCTGTTAATCCTCCTGCAAGGATGATGATCCACAGAGTAAATTAACTAATAAATAATGTTAATGTTGCAGCGTTAAAATTTATCTAACTTTTAAAAAATGTTTTTACTCCTCCACATTTTATTAAGTACAAAATCCATTATTATTATTATACACTAAGAGCTACAATATATTGTCCACAGGAAATGAAATATAAATGACAATAAAAGACAAATGCACGACATATTCAATATAGTCTTTATAAAATTTCAAATGAAATAAAATTATAATAAAAACGAGAATCCGTTTTAAATACTTTGACCTCTAAAGGGTCTTATTTTGAAATTTGAGCGGAAGTTATATAGTTAATGTCGTTTCCATGATACGGATGAATTTGATCAAAGTGAACAGAACACTGTAGTGATCACAACAGGACTTTTTATGACTTTAATTAAATGATAATTGGAGCCGAAGGTTTCCTATCACCTTTAACGTTGTTTAAACTTCGGGTTAGCCGTTAGCTTAGCTTCCTCACCGGAAAGAAGAAGCTCTAGTTATTTGACACGGTGGAGTCCAAGATGGAGGACATGTACATTAAACCAGGTGAGAGTTAGCTTCACTGACCAGCTCCTGACGGTGACGATTAAAGTCGATGAGAAATGATAATAACGTTAATGGAGTTTTGAATAGGGTTATGCTAGGTGAGGCTAACGGCTAGAGAGCTCTGCCGCTCAGACTAAACGGAGTGACGAACTCCGTTCAGAAATCTGGCACATTAATGTTCCGTTTAGCGTCTAGGAAAGAAGTAAACACTTTGTAAATATACTAGAGACGTTTACGATTCAATCTTGTGTTGCTTTTAGTTCGGTATAGGAATAATTCTCCAAACATTAATTATACAGGTTACCCAGTTGTTTTTTACCAACGACCAATAACATTGGAGGAGGTAAAGTGAATATTATGTGGCGGTGTAAATTAACTCTAAAACATAAATCTTAAGATTTAGTGTTTGTGATCTAAACGCAGCAGCAGCAGCCTGTCGGTTCCTAAATGTGTCATGTTGTCCTGAATGAAAAGGCTGACAAATGATGCCGTAGTTACACCGTATTCTGTGACCCAGGTATTGGCAGGTGATGTTTGCTTTACTGAGTGTCTGTCCTGTCAGACTAACGGCTGGGACGATCGATGTCTTTAATCCCAGGAATGTGAGTAATATCACATATATATATAATATATTGACAAAACGACGTGGCGAACTGCAATCAGAAATCTGGAAATTTAAGTTCCCTTAAGAATCCAGAAAAGAGTGACACACCTTTAAAGATTACTTTGGTGTTGATTTCAATTCGGCATAAAAATAATACTATGGTTGTCCTGTGGTTTTCTCCATCCTGATTTGTTTTACCCCTAATAGCATTACAGCAGTTTTTTCATTTGACAAATCATATAATAAAAAGATATATACATACATTAGAGTATTATTTTTACTTTACATGTTATATAATTATGACAAGAATCATATATGAATTAACTCACTCATAAAGAAAACAGAATAAAACTGTCTCTCAAAATGTTGAACTGTCCCTTTAACTAAACTAAACACCTGTCTGTGTGTTGCCAAGGTAACCAGGAGCGGGGTTGGAATGACCCTCCTCAGTTCTCTTATGGCCTCCAGATGGCCCATGGACCACAGAGGAACCCCCTAAACAAGAGAGCAGCTCCACCTGCTTCTGGTAAGAAACCACAACTGTCTACACCTGTCTACACCTGTCTACACCTGTTTATACCTGTCTACAGCTGTCTACACCTCTCTGCACCGGTCTATACCAAACATTTGTCTCTGATTGATCCCCAGGTGCAGGAGCCCCGCCCCCTATCCCTGCTTCCTCCAACCCTCTGGCTCCACCCCCATGTGGTATAGCCCCGCCCCCTCTACACCCAGGTAAGAAACAGTTTTTCATGTGAAACCAACTGAAGAACGGAGGAGTGAGGTGTTGTCTGACTTCAAGTCTCTACTCATCACAGCTCGCCCTCCACTTGCCTGCATGGCTACACCCACTCCTCCCTCAGGGCCAATGAGAAGTCAGAGAGAGGCCGACAGCAGCCAATCAGAGCAGTCAGGGAGTGAGCCTGATGTGGAGGTGGTGGTGTCAGTGCTGGAGCGAGCGCTGACCGTCTGCAGACAGACTGTTAAAGTGAGTCCAGATCCTCCAGACCAGCTGGTCCCTGTATCAGGTCTGTTCAGGACTCACTCTGTGACCTTTGACCTGTCTGCAGGATCAGGTGTGTAATGACGTGGCAAAGAGGCTCCGCTTCCTGGAGGACAGCTGGAGGTCAGGTAGACTGAGCCTACCTGTCAGGAGACGCATGGACACCCTGGCTCAAGGTGACCTGTCTGAACACTCACCTGTCTCATCACACACCTGTCTGAACACTCACCTGTCTGAACACTCACCTGTCTCATCACACACCTGTCTGAACACTCACCTGTCTCATCACACACCTGTCTGAACACTCACCTGTCTGAACACTCACCTGTCTCATCACACACCTGTCTCATCACTCACCTGTCTCATCACACACCTGTCTCATCACACACCTGTCTCATCACTCACCTGTCTCATCACTCACCTGTCTCATCACTCACCTGTCTGAACACTCACCTGTCTGAACAGTCACCTGACTGAACTCTCACCTGTCTGACCTCTCACCTGTCTCTCTCTCTCAGAGTTGCAGTTGGGTCACTGGGATGCAGCTGATGAGATCCATCGCTCTCTGATGGTCGATCATGTGACCGAGGTCAGTCAGTGGATGGTTGGCGTCAAACGACTCATTGCTGAGACCCGGATGCTGAGTCCAGAACTCCTAGAACCACTGCAGAAACCTGCAGAACCAGTCCAGGACTCTGCAGAACCAGTCCAGGACCCAGTCTCCCAGTCCTGACCCTTTAGTCCTGCAGGACTCTCTCTCCAGCAGGTTTCTGTCTTCTCTTGACAAACTGTAACTCTTCTAATGACCTGGTGTTGATAATCCTTACATCACACTTCAGCAGAGGGTCAAAGGTCAGAGCCCCAGGAGCAGGTAGGAGGTCGGCAGGAACAGACTTACTGTTCTCCTGTTCTGGACTAGACTGTATCTGGACTCGGGACTCGGGACTCGGGACTCTGGACTCTGGACTCTGGACTCTGGACTCTGGACTCTGGACTCTGGTCTCTGGACTCTGGACTCTGGACTCTGGACCTTGAACTCTCTGCAGTGACAGTAAAGCTCATCAGGAACAAACTGTTGATGTGGGAATAAATCTTCTTCTCTCTTTCTGTGTCAGAGCGTTGTTGACTCTCTGAGTGCTTTTATTCTGGAGCAGGGATCCTCAGAGACCTGATCCGGACCCTGTGGATCCCTGGTCCCGTCTCAGTGAAGTGGATCTTGAAATGTGACGTTACAGCTCACATGACGACGCTGACTGTATCTGTATTTTATGACCTGGTCTGTGTCAGGCTGCTGCAGCTTCACATTAAAAGCATCGAACTGATGAGACATGAGTTGACTTTTATTATGAAGTGGTCACAGGAAATGCAACGTGAGTTCAGCGGTTAGCGCTGTCGTTCACCTGAATGTGTCTCAGGGGAGTTTGAAATGTTGCAGGGAGTGAAGAAGAGTGAGGAGCTGCTGGATGAAGAGACACACCTCCACCTGCTCACAGGTAACCAACTTCTCACTGTCACACCTGTAGTTACAGGTGAAACACATGCACACTTCTATGTTGTAATCATTTTTATTCCTCTGTGCTGGCGGCAGCCATTTTGTTTTCAGGTGGTCCAGCTCATTGTGGTGGACACGATATCTCAGACACACCTGGACAGAACGTCCTCAGGTGTGGCACAAACGTTCACCTGGACTCAAGGATGAACTCATTAGATCTTGGTGGCTAAAGGTCAAAGCAGAGACAGTAGAGAAACTGCGACGCTTCATTTCCGTGTATTTCCTGTATGTGTCACATTAAAGTGACCTGACTTTGTCCTGGGCTGATCAGACGTCGTTAGCAGGTAAAAACAGCCACAGAGAGGCTCAGGTTTGTCCGTGTTGTCTCGTCTGTTGTTGTATTTGTTTGGCAGGGACAAGTAATCCATCAGTTCGAGCTTTGTGCAGCAACAGGCTGTAATAACAAGAAAAACAGATCCGTCTTTTCTTTCCCAAAGGATGCAGAGAGGAAAGTCTAGACAGGGATAGATTTTAATATTAGCTACTGTCACATTTCATGCCAGTTGCCTTCGCTTGAGGGAGGGGCTGAGGGACAACACGCACTTAGGAGACGGAGCTGTGTCCCACTTCATACCACTGGCGCTGCCTGTAATGCAACATCTTCTCTATAGAGGATCTTTGATCAAAGTTCAAGGTCACGGTGACCTCAGAAAACACTTTTTAGCCATTACTACACTTCACAGAAATTATGACCAAATTTCACACAAAGTAATTAATATTTGAAGTGAATATTTAATATTTTCTCTGACTCTGGATGAACAGGGAGGAAACTGAACTGCTGTGAGTGGAGGAGGAGCTGACTCTCGTTGCACAGTGAATTAAAGAGGGGAGCCATACAGGTGTTTCTGGACAGGTAATGATGCAGGTGGCAGTAGTTTCCAGTCATGAGGGAAACTGTAGACAGAGCATGTTCGGACCACACTGACCTCTGACCTGTGTGATGAGCTGTGCAGCCTGCAGGAGGCGCTGAGCCTCCACTGGACGTCTCTTTATTCTCAGTAGTTTGATGAGCTCAGTCTGAACTCTGCTGACCAATCAGCTCCTCTCCTCCTCCTCCTCCTCCTCATCCCTGGAGAGAGGAAGAGGAGTGGAGGAGGAGGAGGAGGAAACCAAGAAGAAAAGATGAGTGACAGAGAGACAGAGAGAAACACAGAGAAAGAAGCTCGTCCCTCAGGAGACAAACAAACCTAGAAATAGACTGAAGAAGAAGAAGAGGAGCGTCCCTCCGTCCTCAGGTCAGAGACAACACAGTCATAAACTCTTCATCCAGAGTCAGATTAAATATTGATATTCATCTGTGTGAAATGTTATAACTGCTGTGAGGTCTGGAGTAATGGCTACAAAGTGACTTTGACCTTTGACCTTTGACCACCAAAGTCTAATCAGTTCTTCATCTGGTCTACAGAGTGACATCTTATTCTAATCACCATCAAAGATCAAAAAACAATATTTCTCTTTCTTTCCTGATGGACTGATCAGTTATTATCATTATTATCATCATTATTTCTGTCAATCAATTAATCAATAACTCAATAAATCAAGAGCAACAGGACAAATATAGTAATAATGACCCGATCAGCCAAGACTAGATAACTGCCCAGGGGCCCCAGACCTCCATGTAGTATAATTAGCAGTAGAAATACATGTAGTATAATTAGCTGTAGTAATACATGTAGTATAATTAGCGACAGTAATACATGTAGTATAATTAGTGGTAGTAATACATGTAGTATAATTAGTGGTAGTAATACATGGAGTATAATTAGCAGTAGTAATACATGTAGTATAATTAGTGGTAGTAATACATGGAGTATTATTAGCTGTAGAAATATATGTAGTATAATTAGCAGTAGTAATACATGTAGTATAATTGGTGGTAGTAATACATGTAGTATAATTAGCGGCAGTAATACATGTAGTATAATTAGCAGTAGTACTGCAGTTTTTCTCCCTGTATACTCTCTTGGAGCTGGCAGTGTTTGCAGTCTTACTTTCCAGCACAGACTGAGAGGGTGCAGTTACCATGACAACTGTGTGTGTGTGTGTGTGTGTGTGTGTGTGTGTGTGTGTGTGTGTGTGTGTGTCCTGGCCTGTGATTGGCTGATGGGTGGAGTGGGCGGGCAGGTTGAGCATCTGAAAGCGTCACTCAGTCTCTCTCAGATCAGGACAGAGAGACGCTGCTCTCCTCACTGCTCTCTCCATCATCCCTCCATCTTCTTCTTCCTCCTCCTCCTCTTCCTCCTCTCCTCTGTCCAGAACCTAAACTCTCTCTCTCTCTCCCTCTCTTCATCTTTCTTCTTCTCCTCCTTCTGTCTTCTCTCCTCCACCCCTCAGAGAGACAGACTGGTGTAACTCCTGGCCTTCATCACCTCCATCATCATCCTCAGAGGAACACGGACAGGGAGCCCCCTGACCCTCGCCCCGCCGGGTCACCATGGCAACGGTCATCTGCACTCGTTTCACCGAAGAGTATCAGCTGTACGAGGAGCTGGGCAAGTGAGTATCACCGTCATCTTCATCACCACCATCATCTTCATCACCACCATCATCTTCATCCTCGTCTTCGTCAGAATTTAGTCCCGTAGTGTTCTTTTAACTTTTTTAACTTTAGATTTTATAATGTCTAAATATTCAACATCATCTGAGTTACATTTGTACATATTTATATCTGGACGTATTCATTATGTGCATATACATTTTAGTAGATTTATTTATACATTTTATTATAGGTACATTTAAAAAAAAAAAAAAATTATTTGGCCTAATAATAATAATTCATTATTCTCATAATGTTTATTTTATACATTTCATAAGATTTCCGTCAATTGGTTTTATTATTAGTAGGAGTAGTAGTAATAAATTACACTTATAATATTTTTATATAATTTTTAATTTCTAATTATTTGAATTTTCTTAGTTTTTTGTTTCCGTAATTCATCTTTAAAGTTTATTTTTGTATAAAACAAACTATTGATAATATATTAGTTTACAGATTATAGATCCATTTTGAACATTAATAAAATAACGAGACCAAGAACAAAGAATATCATTATCTATTATAACTTAAATCAGTCAATCATCATTATTGATGAATATCTGATCAATATATGATGTAATAGATAGATAGATAGATAGATAGATAGATAGATAGATAGATAGATGAGTGTAACACCTTTTTGACCTCATCCCACTCACTGCCCACACACACACACACACACTCAAACATACACACACATACACACACACACACACACACACACACACACACACACACACACACACACACACATAATGCCAGGTCTCTTACATAATGTGATGGTGGGTGGCAGAATACAGCTTTCATAAGGAACACAGACACAGAAATCTTTCTGTAGAAACTCTGATGTTCAGTTCCAGGAAAAAGAGGCGGGGGGACATTATTATTTATACTTTATCATCAATATTATTATTATTGATCAGTACATTGATTGTGACAGACAGATTAAAAACATAACAGTCCAAATCTGAGCAGCAGAGGAGGAGATCTCCTGACATTTAGTCCATAAACACTGGCTCCTACATTTCCCATAATGCAACTGGACAGTGGCTTCAGTGCTAGCAGTAGTAGTAAATGCAGATTTAGCAGTTGAAGCACAAGTAGTTGTGGAACCATATATTTGCAACAGTATTAGCATTAATATTAGCAGTGTTAGCAGTAGGATCAGCAGTAACTGGAACAGTACTAACAGTACTAGAAGTACTAACAGTAGTAATAGCAGTAACAGTACTAATACTACTAACAGTACTAATAGCAGTAACAGTACTAACAGTACTAGAAGTACTAACAGTACTAATACTACTAACAGTACTAATAGCAGTAACAGTACTAACAGTCGGGTAAAGATCTTGTTAGAACTTGAAAACGATCTTGGAGAATCGTTGTGAATCATTGGTTCCTCCTGTTGTGTTTCCAGGGGAGCGTTTTCAGTGGTGCGCCGCTGTGTGAAAGTGCTGTCGGGTCAGGAGTACGCCGCCAAGATCATCAACACCAAAAAACTGTCTGCCAGAGGTGAGGACCTGACAGAGGACAGCACCATGTACAATGTCACATACACACCAGCCATATTAATGATGGGAGAACCTCATTTATCAAAACATTGAGAACCCCAAAGTTCTAAAGGTTCTGACTGTAGGAACCTACACACACAGATGTAGAACAATGGAGAAGTACAACAGTAGAACAGTGGAACGCTAGAGCAGTGGAATAGTAGAACAGTGGAACAGTAGAGCAGTAGAACAGTGGAACAGTAGAGCAGTGGAACAGTAGAATAGCAGAACAGTAGAACAGCGGAAAAGTAGAACAGCGGAACAGTAGAACAGGGGAACAGTAGAGCAGTACAGCAGCAGAACAGAAGAACAGTGGAACTGTAGAACAGAAGAATAGTGGAACAGTAGAACAGCGGAACAGTAGAACAGTGGAACAGTAGAGCAGTGGAACATTGGAACAGTAGAGCAGTGGAACAGTAGAACAGCGGAACAGTAGAACAGTGGAACAGTAGAGCAGTGGAACAGAAGAACAGTTGAACAGAAGAACAGTGGAACAGTAGAACAGCGGAACAGTAGAGCAGCGGAACAGTAGAACAGTGGAACTGTAGAACAGGGGAACAGTAGAACAGGGGAACAGTAGAGCAGTACAGCAGTAGAACAGCGGAACAGTAGAGCAGCGGAACAGTGGAACTGTAGAACAGGGGAACAGTAGAGCAGTACAGCAGTAGAACAACGGAACAATAGAGCAGTGGAACAGAAGAACAGTGGAACAGTAGAGCAGTGGAACAGAAGAACAGTGGAACCGTAGAACAGAAGAACAGTGGAGTAGTGGAACAGAAGAACAGGGGAACAGAAGAATAGTGGAACAGTAGAACAGTGGAACAGAAGAACAGTGGAACTGTAGAACAGAAGAACAGTGGAACAGAAGAACAATAGAACAGTGGAACAGAAGAACAGTGGAACAGTAGAACAGTAGAACAGAAGAACAGTGGAACATTAGAACAGTGGAACAGTGGAGCAGAAGAACAGTGGAACAGTAGAACAGTGGAACAGAAGAACAGTGGAACATTAGAACAGTAGAACAGTGGAGCAGAAGAACAGTGGAACAGTAGAACAGAAGAACAGTGGAACATTAGAACAGTGGAACAGAAGAACAGTGGAACAGAAGAACAGTGGAACATAAGAACAGTGGAACAGAAAAACAGTGGAACAGTGGAATGTTAGAACAGTAGACCAGTGGAACATTAGAACAGTGGAACAGAAGAACAGTGGAACAGTAGAACAGTAGAACAGTGGAACAGAAGAACAGTGGAACATTAGAACAGTGGAACAGAAGAACAGTGGAACATTAGAACAGTAGAACAGTGGAACAGAAGAACAGTGGAACATTAGAACAGTGGAACAGAAGAACAGTGGAACAGAAGAACAGTGGAACATAAGAACAGTGGAACAGAAAAACAGTGGAACAGTGGAATGTTAGAACAGTAGACCAGTGGAACATTAGAACAGTGGAACAGAAGAACAGTGGAAACATTAGAACAGTGGAACATTAGAACAGTGGAACAGAAGAACAGTGGAACAGAAGAACAGTGGAACATTAGAACAGTAGAACAGTGGAGCAGAAGAACAGTGGAACATTAGAACAGTGGAACAGAAGAACAGTGGAACATTAGAACAGTAGAACAGTGGAATGTTAGAACAGTAGAACAGTGGGACATTAGAACAGTGGAACAGAAGAACAGTGGAATGTTAGAACAGTAGAACAGTGGAATGTTAGAACAGTAGAACAGTGGAACAGTAGAACAGTTGAAACATTAGAACAGTGGAACAGTAGAACAGTTGAAACATTAGAACAGTGGAACAGAAGAACAGTGGAACATTAGAACATTAGAACAGTGGAACAGAAGAACAGTGGAACAGAAGAACAGTGGAACATTAGAACAGTGGAACATTAGAACAGTGGAACAGAAGAACAGTGGAACAGAAGAACAGTGGAACATTAGAACAGTAGAACAGTGGAGCAGAAGAACAGTGGAACATTAGAACAGTTGAAACATTAGAACAGTGGAACAGAAGAACAGTGGAACATTAGAACAGTAGAACAGTGGAGCAGAAGAACAGTGGAACATTAGAACAGTGGAACATTAGAACAGTGGAACAGAAGAACAGTGGAACAGAAGAACAGTGGAACATTAGAACAGTGGAACATTAGAACAGTGGAACAGAAGAACAGTGGAACAGAGGAACAGTGGAACAGAAGAACAGTGGAACAGAAGAACAGTGGAACATTAGAACAGTAGAACAGTGGAATGTTAGAACAGTAGAACAGTGGAACAGTAGAACAGTTGAAACATGTCTGTACCTGGTCTGTACCCTGGGTGGCCTCAGTGTGAAACTGTGGATCTTTCTCATCTCTGTAGATCTTTTAATTTTTTTCCAGATCTCTATTCTGGTTCTGAGATTTCCTCCGGTTGCCTAGCAACACTCTGCAAAGTTGACAAAGAAGTGTGTGTGTGTTTGTCTCATTTAGTTCAGTTTGATTCTGCAGTGACTGTAACATCACTGCAGCAAACTAACAGCTCATCAACACTGTGACATCATCATGATGTCATCGCATTTACATAACAACAATAATAATCATATGATTATTTTCATCAGTCAGCTGATTAACCTGTCAGGTGGAGAAATGTCCCTCACTGCTCCCCCTCCCTCTGTACTGACATGTTGTGGATGTTGCACAGGAAACGTCAAATATCAAATATAACATTAAAATGATTAAAGTAGCTGTCAATCAATCTTTCAACAATTATTGACCTTCCTCTAAACTCTCAGGTCTAATCCAGAGTGAATGTGTTTCATATTGATAACTTTGTAAATCATTAATACAACAGTTCATCAGACTGTCACCATGGAGACAAGGTTTAAATAAGAATGATGAAGATAATGAAGATGATGAAGATGAAGATGGAGAAAGACAACAGGACCTTGTGATGTAAACTCCCTCATGGAGGGAAGGAAGTGCAAGTGAGACGTTCTGAGACCAGGAGCCAGCAGGAACCAGGAGGAGGTCTGGGGGGTCCTGGGGTTTGGGGGGGTCTGATCTCCCTCTGATTGTTGATCAGTGGCTCAGCTCTCATGAGGGCGTTTTATTCTCAGTCGTTGTTTTGAGCTTCAGAGCTGCTGCTCAGTTGGAAACTGTCCCCAACAGATTCTCTATTGGCTGCCAGAACCCCACCACCACCACCCCCCTCTCATTCGGCTCAGCCCTCATCACAGGGCTGGTCCTGGATCAGTTGCTGCAGCTCTGCTGGAGATGAACAGTGAGGTTACACTGAGTCAGGATCAGAGGGACTCTGAGGTGTCAGATCTTCTGTCAGTGCAACAGTGAAGAACCTGAGGTGACCGCAGAGTCCAGACCGGTTCTACAGAGTCTAGACCTTGTAGATGACACAGGTGTCACTCCCCGTCTCACCTGAAAACACCTGAGACCACATACAGTCAGGTCCATATGGATCCACTCAGAACTGAGGGTTCACCTGGTCTCACCTGGTTCAGTCAGGTCACACCGCCCAGAGGGTTAGCATGTGTCTGTTTACACCTGTCATGGCTCTGATTGGTCGATATAAGACACTAACATGTCTGTATCAATACCTTATCAATAATCAATCACTGTGTTTGTGTGTTGTCAGATCATCAGAAGTTGGACCGTGAAGCTCGAATCTGTCGTTTACTGAAACACCCCAACATCGGTGAGTACTACTACCTGTACTGCATGTACTAATACTGCTATGTCTACTGCTGGTTTACTCTTACTCCTAACATTACTGCTGCTGCTTCTATACTTTCTACTCCTTGTACTTCTACTACTGTATTCAAAATATCTGCAGCTGCTCCTGTTACTGCGTCTAAAACACAGTATTAATACAACCACTACTACTACTACTTATATTATTAATAATCTTATTAATACTACTACTAATACTATTATTAGTATGACTGCACATTTTACTTCTGATGCTGCTACAAATATTTCTATAGGTACTGTTTTTACTGCTACTACTAAAATTACTACTAGTACTGCAACCACTACTGCTAATACTACTACTGTAACCAATACTACTACTGCTAGTACTGCTAATACTACTGCTCCAGCTGCTGCTACTGTAAATATCACTACTACTACTAGTGCTGCTACTACTGTAGGTATGGAGTTAAATGACACTGTCCAGGTGCATTATGGGAAATGGAGGACCCAGTGTTTACTGACTGCTGCTCAGACAACAACTACAAAACTGACTCTATGAATTCTTTTACATTGGATAAAACAGACACACACACACACACACACACACACACACACACTGTGAATACGCCTTCAGTCAGCCTCAGGGCTCTGATTGGCTGAGATGGTGGTGAGCTACTGTAGCCAGGTGAACACTGGTTAGATACAAACCAGTGACATCAGTTCACATTTCCTGTGGTGAATTCACAATAAAAGCCCAGCACAGTTCTATAGGAAGTGTCAGGAAACAAACGGAACCAGAGTCACATGTTCAAATGTGACCTCATGCAGGCACAACAGGCCAATCAGAGCACTGTGTGGGCAGGTGATGCTCTACAGATACTGAGGAGTGTTACGTAACCGCGTGTGTGTGTGTGTGTGTCTGTGTCTGTGTTGCTACGCAACAATGTCCTTAGGTGAAGGCAACAAAACTCTCTCTCCTCCTCCTACACACACACACACACACACACACACAAACACACACACACACACTCATACCTGTGTGAAAGCACTCAGAAAGAAATAATCAGGTTTTTCTCTCGAAACACTCCTACACAGTACAGCAGTGGTGTGTGTGTGTGTGTGTGTGTGTGTGTGTGTGTGTGTGGGCAGCAGCTCCTCTCTCCTCTGTTATATGTCTTATTATACCATATATACAGGAGCAGTAACAGACGCCTTCAGTGAAACTCATCAAACAGTCTGGTGAAGGATCAAGTGCTCAGATATTTACCAAAGTAAAAAACCCACACCACAGAGTGAGACACAGTGAGAGACACAGTGAGACACAGTGAGACACAGTGAGACACACAGACACAGTCAGACACACAGAGACACACAGACACAGTGAGAGACACAGCGAGACACAGTGAGACACAGACACAGTGAGACACACAGAGACACACAGACACAGTGAGACACAGAGACATAGTGAGATACACAGATACACAGTGAGACACAGACACAGCGAGACACAGAGAAACAGTGAGGCACAGTGAGAGACACAGTGAGAGACACAGTGAGAGACACAGAGAGAGACACAGTGAGACATAGAGAGACACAGTGAGAGACACACAGTGAGACACTCAGTGAGACACAGTGAGACACTTTAACTCAGCTGCTGTGTCTCAGTTACTGTCTGCTCTGAATCTGTAGCTCATATTTCCTCCTACTCATTTTAAACAACATAGAGTTTCACATGAATCATTTCAAACACTGCAGACTACATCTGGCTTACTTCTGTTAGCTTACATCTGCTATCTTACAACTGCTAGCTTACTTCTGCTAACTTACATCTGCTATCTTACTTCTGCTAGCTTACATCTGCTAGCTTACTTCTGCTAGCTTACTTCTGCTAACTTACATCTGCTATCTTACATCTGCTAGCTTACATCAGTTAGCTTACATCTGCTATCTTACATCTGCTAGCTTACTTCTGCTAGCTTACATCTGCTATCTCACTTCTGCTATCGTACATCTGCTATCATACAACTGCTAGCTTACATCTGCTAGCTTACTTCTGCTAGCTTACTTCTGCTAATTTACATCTGCTAGCTTACTTCTGCTAGCTTACATCTGCTATCTTACTTCTGCTAGCTTACATCAGTTAGCTTACATCTGCTATCTCACTTCCGCTATCGTACATCTGCTATCTTACTTATGCTATCATACAACTGCTAGCTTACTTCTGCTAGCTTACTTCTGCTATCTTACTTCTGCTATCATACATCTGGCAGCTTACATCTGCTAGCTTACATCTGCTAGCTTACTTCTGCTAGCTTACATCTGCTATCTTACTTCTGCTAGCTTACATCAGTTAGCTTACATCTGCTATCTCACTTCCGCTATCGTACATCTGCTATCTTACTTATGCTATCATACAACTGCTAGCTTACTTCTGCTAGCTTACTTCTGCTATCTTACTTCTGCTATCGTACATCTGGCAGTTTACATCTGCTAGCTTACTTCTGCTAGCCTAGCTCCCAGTGTCTGTACATGTTGTGTGTTGTTAGCTTAGCAGCTGGTTAACAGTCCTGTAGTTACCTGCTCAGTGAAGGTTTGTTTCTTTCAGTTCGGCTCCATGACAGTATCTCAGAAGAAGCGCATCATTACCTCATCTTTGACCTGTGAGTCCTGCTCTACTCTGGTCTGTGAACCATTCTAAGTCATGCGATGTCATGTGATGTCACAGGTGTCACATTATTGTCTTAAATTGTTTGTTGTTATGGTTTGTTACATTGTAGTTTCAAGTTGTTACATTTCACAACGTTTTGTTATTGTACTTTGTGTAACGTCCCTTTACGGTTCATTGAGTTATGTTACGTTAGATTATATTATGATGAGTTATGATGTGTTACGTTGTGTTATGTTGTGTTACGTTGTGTTTTAAATTGTGTTACGTTGTGTTACATTGTGTTATGTTGTGTTCCGTTGTGTTCCGTTGTGTTATGTTGTGTTACATTGTGTTTTACATTGTGTTACGTTGTGTTACATTGTGTTATGTTGTGTTATGTTGTGTTACGTTGTGTTACATTGTGTTTTACATTGTGTTACGTTGTGTTTTACGCTGTGTTACGTTGTGTTACATTGTGTTTTATGTTGTGTTACGTTGTGTTTTACGCTGTGTTACATTGTGTGTTACGTTGTGTTACGTTGTGTTATGTTTTGTTATGTTGTTTTTTACACTGTCTTTTACGTTTTACATTGTGTTATGTTGTGTTCCGTTGTGTTTTACATTGTGTTATGTTGTGTTACTTTGTGTTACGTTGTGTTTATATTTTTTGTTTATATTATTTTGTTAGTATTTGTTGGGATATATTTTTATATGTGCTGTTTTTCTGTTTTGTTTAGTACAAATATTGAAATATAAATAAATACATTTTCCTGGGTCTCAGGGTGACAGGTGGAGAGTTATTTGAAGATATTGTAGCCAGAGAATATTACAGTGAAGCCGACGCCAGGTAGGAAATACTGATCTATCTACTCATCAGCAGTTTTATTTTTTATTTTCTTATCTGAGGTTCACACATGACCTCTGACCTCTGACCTCTGTCATTCAACAGTCACTGTATCCAGCAGATTTTGGAGGCGGTGCTACACTGTCACCAGATGGGCGTGGTCCACAGAGACCTGAAGGTGAGATCAGACCCTTTTTCTGTCTGTGGCCACTTCACATGTACACTTTCATAATTACAGTAGGTCCCGTTAGCATTGTTAGCATCTCCAATGTAAACCAATAGGCAGAGTTAGCATGTTAGCATGTGCCCTGTGTCTCCAGCCAGAGAACCTGCTGCTGGCCTCTAAGTCTAAAGGAGCAGCGGTGAAACTGGCCGACTTCGGCCTCGCCATCGAGGTGGAGGGAGACCAGCAGGCGTGGTTCGGTAAGTACTACAGCTAGAATAGCTGAGAGGAGTGCCTCAGGGCGCATCCCGAAAGAGGTGCTATGACTTTTGGTGTTAAAATTCCAATTTTTCCCAAAGTTATTCCCAAAAAACTGGGAATAAATAAAACCCACAAAATTTCACCTTTTTTCTACTAAATTTCAACCTTTTTTCTGAGTCACCCAGCTCTCTCATACCTGCACGTAGAAATGTGATTCAAACTATAAAACGGAGGAAAACTTCTGCTCTCTCCAAAACTCAGCAACTGTTTTTACATAACATGTAAACTTTTCAAACTATGAGCACTCAAAGGAGGAGTGCAAATCACTTTTTCTTCAAAGTTAGAGTGACAGCGTCAGTTGGCTAGAGTGCGTGAAGCAGTAAAAAATAACCTTTATTTTTATTTTTAACTCGAGCTCACGGCCAAACCGTAAAAAGGAGACAAATAATTCTTTCTGAAAATGTAGACATAGTTGTTGGGATTCATAAAATGTAACTTTGACAGGCAGGGTCTGCACAAAATTTAAACGGGGGTGCCGAGTCCGGCAGCAATACCTGTCTCACTCTCATTGACACCTAATGTAATCGTCGTTTTCTTTCAAAAGAATCTCACTCTGTCTTCGCACTGAGCTTACTCACTCATTTTAAGGAATATCTGAATAAAATAGAGACTGTAAGAAACTTCTGGCTTCAGTGTCTGTCACGGTGTTTTCGGTTTTTGAAAAGAAGTAACGGTTTTCTCATAATTTGCAGTTGTTTGAAGCCATGTAGAAGCCAAATTCTGGGCAGATTTTCACATTGCCATGGCAACGGCAGCTCCTGACCTGACCTCTGACAGCCAAGGGCTGCGTGATGTCATCGCTACAGTGACACAGAGACCCTGTCCTGCAGTCGCCCCCGTGGCACTCAACATTTCCCTGGAATTTTCTAGTTTTCTTTATTATTGGGTTTTCTTTTCACATTATTATTTTGTCTTATTTCATTTATTTACTAATTATTATTATTTTTATATTATTTTAAACTCAGTTCATCAACACGTCTCAGAAGCACAGACAACAACCACCTCCATCATCACGGCAACCACTTGTTGCTACGGCAGCAGACATTCTCTGTTATAATTCTGTAATTTATGTGTGTGTGTGTGTGTGTGTGTGTGTGTGTGCGTGTGTGTGTGTGTGTGTGTGTGTGCGTGTGTGTGTGTGTGTGTTTTTACAGGCTTTGCAGGGACTCCAGGTTATCTGTCTCCAGAGGTTTTAAGGAAGGATCCGTACGGGAAAGCAGTCGACCTCTGGGCTTGTGGTGAGACACGTCTCTACTGTCTCTACTGCCTCTACTGTCTCTGCTGTCTCTGCTGTCTCTAGTGTCTCTCTGAGGTGTGTTTTATTCTCTCTCTCTCTCTCTCTCAGGTGTGTTTTATTCCTTCTCTCAGTAGTGTTTTATTCTCTCTCTCTCAGGTGTGTTTTCTCTCTCTCTCTCTCGGGTGTGTTTTCTCTCTCTCTCTCTCAGGTGTGTTTTATTCTGTCTCAGGTGTGTTTTATTCTCTCAGGTGTGTTTTATTCTCTCTCTCAGGTGTGTTTTATTCTCTCTCTCTCAGGTGTGATTCTCTACATCTTACTGGTCGGTTATCCTCCATTCTGGGATGAAGATCAACATCGTCTCTACCAGCAGATCAAAGCTGGAGCTTACGACGTAGGTCATGTGACTCATCACCTCTGTCATGTGACATTGTACCTTTTGTTACTGCCTTGTTTTTTTTTCATCTCTCCTTGTCTACTTGTCTCTTTGTCATCATCATCTTCTTTCCTCCTTCCTTGCCTTGTCTCCTTACTTTCTTTGTCTCCTCTCTGGACTCCTTCACTTGCTTCCTCTCCTTATCTCCTAGTTTCCTTCTCCAGAGTGGGACACAGTGACTCCTGAAGCCAAAGATCTCATTAACAAGATGTTAACCATCAACCCAGCGAAACGCATCACAGCTGCTGAAGCTCTGAAACACCCCTGGATCTCTGTGAGGCTCTTCATCCTGATGATGATGATGATGAGGAGGAGGATGATGATGAGGATGATGATGATGAGGATGATGATGATGAGGATGATGATGAGGATGATGATGAGGATGATGATTATGAGGATGATGATGATGAGGATGGTGATTATGAGGATGATGAGGATGATGATGATGATGAAGATGGTGATTATGAGGATGATGAGGATGATGATGATGATGAAGATGATGATGATGATGAGGATGGTGATTATGAGGATGATGATGATGAGGATGGTGTGATGAGGATGATGATGAGGATGATGATGATGAGGATGGTGATTATGAGGATGATGAGGATGATGATGATGATGAAGATGGTGATTATGAGGATGGTGAGGATGATGATGATGATGAAGATGATGAGGATGATGAGGATGGTTATTATGAGGATGATGATGATGACGATCGTGTGATGATGATGATGAGGATGGTGATTATGAGGATGATGAGGATGATGATGATGACGATCGTGTGATGATGATGATGACGATCGTGTGATGATGATGATGACGATCGTGTGATGATGATGATGACGATCGTGTGATGATGATGATGACGATCGTGTGATGATGATGATGACGATCGTGTGATGATGATGATGACGATCGTGTGATGATGATGATGACGATCGTGTGATGATGATGATGACGATGGGGTGAAGAGGATGGCGATTATGAGGATGATGATGATGACGATGGTGTGATGAGGATGGTGATTATGAGGATGAGGATGATGAGGATGGTGATTATGAGGATGATGATGATGAGGATGGTGTGATGAGGATGATGATGAGGATGAGGATGATGAGGATGGTGATTATGAGGATGATGATGATGAGGATGGTGTGATGAGGATGATGATGAGGATGATGATGATGAGGATGGTGATTATGAGGATGATGATGATGAAGATGGTGATTATGAGGATGATGAGGATGATGATGATGATGAAGATGATGAGGATGATGATGATGAGGATGGTGATTATGAGGATGATGATGATGACGATGGTGTGATGAGGATGGTGATTATGAGGATGAGGATGATGAGGATGGTGATTATGAGGATGATGATGATGAGAATGATGATGATGATGATGAGGATGGTGATTATGAGGATGGTGATGATGATGATGAGGATGGTGATTATGAGGATGGTGATTATGAGAATGATGATAATGATGATGAGGATGATGATGATGAGGATGGTGATTATGAGGATGATGATGATGATGATGAGAATGATGATGAGGATGATGATTATGAGGATCGTGATTATGAGGATGGTGATGATGATGATGAGGATGGTGATTATGAGGATGGTGATGATGAGGATGGTGATTATGAGAATGATGATGATGATTATGAGGATGATGAGGATGATGATGATGAGGAGGAGGATGATGATGATGATGATGATGATGATGATACTCTTCCTCCCAGCATCGCTCCACGGTGGCGTCCTGTATGCACAGACAGGAAACAGTCGAATGTCTGAAGAAGTTCAACGCCAGGAGGAAACTGAAGGTAGGTCCTCAAAGACCTGAACCTCTGATCTGAATTAGTGCATTATGTAAAAGTTTTGGTCTAATCCTCAAATGTATGTGTCCCCACCCCCCACCCCCCACCCCAGGGAGCCATTCTGACGACCATGCTGGCCACCAGAAACTTCTCCGGTAAGACCAGCAGCTCTTGTTTGTGTCCTCCCCAGGATAAGAGGTCAGAGTTCACACCTCTCCAGGTGAACAGACCGTTCTCTTCCTATTTGTTGACCCAGAGTCACATGACCCATTGTGGATTCAGTGTTTTTGACCTTTGACCTGCAGGTTTGTTTTACAGGAGCTGAAGGTTAAACTGAGAGACTAACAGAGGATCCACCAATCAGCTGCAGGCTTACTGACAATTAACAGCTTAACACTGAGTGTGTGTGTGTGTGTGTGTGTGTGTGTGTGTGTGTGTGTGTGTGTGTGTCTGTGTGTGTGTGTGGCAGCAGCTGTTCTGGATGCCATAGATCTATAGATAGAGAGGGAAACCACCGAGAGTCTGTGTCCACGCTGACACCATAAACCTGGATCACTGTTTACCTCTGTTTGTTTGTTTTTAATGACATGTGACTGTTTGTTTACAACAGACTTGAAAAATAGTGAAATAACATTTAACGTCTTAGATCATAAGATGAAGATGTGAGTGTGTGTGTGTGTGTGTGTGTGGGTGTGTGTGTGTGTGTGTGTGTGTGTGTGTGTGTGTGTTGTTGTGTGTGTGGGTGTGTGTGTGTTGTGGGTGTGTGTGTGTGTGTGTGTGTGTGTGTTAGAGAGAGAGAGTGTGTGTGTGTGTCAGATTCATCAGCTCAGTGTGAACAGTCAGGAATGTGAGACAGTTTCTGCTCCTCTACTATCTCAAGTTGATCCTAAATATGGACTCAGCTGCTGAGAGAGAGAGAGAGAGAGATGGTGGGAGACGGAGAGAGACAGAGAGAGACAGAGAGAGAGAGAGAGAGACAGAGAGAGACAGAGAGAGAGAGACAGAGAGAGAGACAGAGAGAGAGACAGAGAGAGAGAGACAGAGAGAGAGACAGAGAGAGAGACAGAGAGACAGAGACAGAGAGAGACAGAGAGAGAGACAGAGAGACAGAGAGAGAGAGAGAGAGAGAGAGAGAGAGAGACAGAGAGAGAGACAGAGAGAGAGACAGAGAGACAGAGACAGAGAGAGACAGAGAGAGAGACAGAGAGACAGAGAGAGAGAGACAGAGAGAGAGACAGAGAGAGAGGCAGAGAGAGAGAGACAGTTCCTGTGTCCTCTGGTTCTTCACCCTCTGAACTGTCAGTTTGCTGAAGGGCACGTCGGCAGCGGTGGTCGGTACGATGCCGTCTCTCCTCTTCTGTGCCTTTGTTCCTTTCTTTCTGACTCTGCTGCTTCTCTCTCTCTTTGTTCTCATCCCTCGTTCAGGAGGAAAGAGTGGCAGCAACAAGAAGGCCGACGGAGTCAAGGTAACAACTTATTATTATAATTATTATTATCATCACTATTATTATTATTGTTATTATTGTTATTTTTAGAGTTTAAAGTTTATGATCAGATGTGACAGGTGAGTCTGTCAGGTGATGTCATCAGGCAGTGAGTGAAGCTTCAAGATCATTGTATGAAAAGCACCAGATCTTACTGACTGTGATTCGTTCTCTTTATTTCACGGTTTACTTCCTGTGTTTGTTCTCTGCTCTCTGATTGGTCCTCCACCCCTGCAGCTGATTTTATATGATGTTTGTTATTATTTTATATGAATAATCTCATAAGCAGCTTCATCTATTCACCTCCTCAGTAGTGATGGCGCCACCATGTGGTGAGAAACGCTAGTATCTCAGCAATCATGAGGTGGAGGTGATATAGGCCACGCCCACTGGCCTCATGAAACTGTTTCTGTCATCCTACGTCTTTCATCTAAGCTTCATGTATCGTCTTCCCTAATTTGCTGACAAACCTGTGTGGGCGTGGTCAAACCAGTACAGCAGTTTCACCACTAGAGGGCGTCGCTGCTGTCACACAGTGATGGTCAGGAACATGACTGAGCTTGTTGATGGCTCTTATAATTAACAAGTTATTCATTAATGAGGAGTGTGTACAGTGACACGGGGTCGTCATGGAGACAGCTGGTCGTGTTTGAAGTGTCTCAGCTGTTCCTCTCAGTCACATGATCACTGTCACTCTGCAGGAATCATCTGAGAGCACAAACACCACCATAGAGGACGAAGACACCAGAGGTGACACACACACACACACACACACACACAGAGACACACACACACACACAGACACACACACACACACACACACACAGACACACACACAGACACACACTATGATTCATTAATGACTGACGGACACGATCATTAAAAACATAGAGAAGCTTCAGCTGAGACGTTAAATTACAGCTGATAGACAATGATACTGACCTGTCTCTCTCTCTCTCTGTCTCTCTCTCTCTCTGTCTCTCTGTCTCTCTCTCTGTCTCTCTCTCTCTCCCTGTCTCTCTCTCTCTGTCTCTCTCTCAGTGAGGAAACAGGACATCATTAAAGTCACTGAGCAGCTCATTGAGGCGATCAGCAATGGAGACTTTGAGAGCTACACGTATGTAACGCTCACACACTGCTTATTAAGACTCTTATTGTGTCCTCTCAGTAAACCTGTGTGTCCTCTCAGTAAACCTGTGTCCTCTCAGTAAACCTGTGTGTCCTCTCAGTAAACCTGTGTGTCCTCTCAGTAAACCTGTGTCCTCTCAGTAAACCTGTGTGTCCTCTCAGTAAAATGTGCGACCCGGCTGTGACGGCGTTCGAACCCGAGGCTTTGGGAAACCTGGTCGAAGGCCTTGACTTCCACCGCTTTTATTTTGAAAACTGTGAGCTGAACTTTGTTAACTTCTTGTCATTAAATGTCTGCCTCCCCTCCTGTGGTCCCAGCTGTCTCACCTGTCCAGGTGTCTCTGCCTGTGTCCTCAGTATGGTCTAAGAACAGTAAACCGGTCCACACCACCATCTTGAACCCTCACATCCACCTGGTCGGGGACGAGGCCGCCTGCATCGCTTACATCAGAGTGACGCAGTACATCGACGCCAACGGCACGCCTCGCACCGCCCAATCAGAGGAGACCCGGGTGTGGCACCGCCGTGACGGGAAGTGGCAGATCGTCCACTTCCATCGCTCAGGCTCCGCCTCCACACTCAGCAAGTAAGTTCAGGGGGGGTTCAGTCTGTCTGTGTCACCTGTCTGTCTGTCTCACCTGTCTGTCTGACCTGTCACCTTTTTTTCCCTCCAGTTAACTTCCAGAGTGGGCAGGTCTTTGATGGGGCCACCATCACCTTGACGACAGATTGATTGACAGCAGGCCGGGCGTCTGACACCAACCATTCAGGATTTAGTTTGAGACGTTTGACAAAGACAAAATGGAGGAGGAGTCGGGGGCGGAGCCAGAGAGCTTCACTCAAACTAGTCCAGAAGTGAACTGCATCATCAATCAATCAGCCAATCAGCTTCCTCTTTTTAGCTCGTTTGGACTTTTGCTGCGGCCACGCCCCTTTGTGATTAGCCAATCAGCTGCACAACGCAGGTAGTAATAATGTGTGGAAACCTCGTATCTCCAGGACTGACAGCTGATTCTACTGTGACTCATTAATTAGAGTTAATTAACACGTTGTTAGGGAGTAATTAAATAATTAATGGCTCATTAATGACCAATTTAATGTGATTTAAGTTCTAGGGGATTTTGGTTCATATACAACCCAGAACCCAGAATCTAGAACCCAGAACCTAGAACCCAGTGGAGGAGCTCTGAGGTGCGACCTGCTCTCTGGTCCTCTGGGAGACACGAGATTTCCACCTGACAGTGAAGTTAATTATATAGAATAACAAATAAAATCATATTATTGTAAATGGATGCCAGACGTTGCCATGGTTACTAATTATGCTATAGACCAGTTATCTCGTGATCACACTCCCCCTCCCCAGTTTAAAAATTATTATTCATATTAGATCAATAATAATAATTCATATATTCTCATGTATGTTTCATTCAAACGTTTCCTCCACAGTGATTCATATTAATACAATTATAACAGTAATTAAATATAAAGTGATCACATCCATTAAATTAATTTAATTCAAATAGTCTCAGTGTAACAAGACTGTGGTCGTGAAATATTCAAAGCTATTTAATGATCAGTGACCTCAGCAGCTCTGGGCCTCCATACATGATGTCACAGGGTCGACGTGACATCACAGGGTCGACGTCGTGTTTAATGTCGTACGAGCAGGAAGTGATGAGAACACCGTACGACGCTCGTCTCTCTGCTTCCACAAACTTCCACCTGCGATCTTCCATGAACTGCCACACCTCCTCTCAGATCACCTGACCCCCCCCCCACCACCACCACCACCACCAGGACGAGTCCGTGGCCTGCTGCTCTCCCGAAGGAACTGTGTCTGTTGAAGGAAGGAAGGAAGGAAGGAAGGATAGGAAGGAAGGAAGGATAGGATAGGCTGGACACAGAGGAAAGATAGAACAGGCTGCAGCAGGAAGCAAGGGTAAAGGAACTAAGGACACTGAAAAAAATGAAGGAAACATGAGAAGGAACAAATCGCGTAAATATAAAATGAATTAAATATAATTAAATTAAAATGAAACCATGGAAACGATGATTAACTCAGACTCGTTCCTGGTTTCACTTTCATTAATCTGAGGCTGGTAACACAAAACACCTTAAGTTCTCCACTTAAATATGACACTTAAGGTTTAATTTCTCTTTAGCTGAGGGAATTACTTAAGGGTGTTAAAATGTTTCCTTACTTAAGGAAAAAAATGAAGGTATTTACAGCAGTGAAATTCTACTGTTTCCATGGAGACCAGGAATCTTCTGCCATTAGCAACACTCTTCTTCATGGTGTCGTGTTACAGTTAAGATAAAGTCAGATAGACCTTTAGTTTCTCCCTTTAGGTCTTTACAGTCTAAAGACAGTTTAACTGACTTTAAGTGATTCTTTAAGAATAAGACTAAGAAAAGGACAAAACCTTAAACTTAACTCAACATTTTAAGGAAATCTTAACTCCGACTTTAAGGGAAATCTTAACTTAAGGTGTTTTGTGAATACAGCTCCTGGTTGTTGTTTCGGTGTAAAACTGCACAAAGGTAACAGCCAATCAGAATCGCTGACACGATCACCTGTCGTCTGCCGGGACCAACCTCCATCAGCCACAATGAGTTCGTCAGTACGGAGTCCCAGGAGAGACAAACATGTTTTCATCATATATCATATGAATGGACAGTCATGTGACTTCAGTCGTTAAATCAGATACTGACGTCGACTCCAGAGGAAGAATAGATCACATTTACTAATAAAAATATTTTTTCTTTGATAATAAAAATCATCGTTCAGATTTAAATGTTTAAATATCGTTAACAGCTGATTAGTTAACGAGTGTCTGACAGTAACACTAATATTTGTAACTGTTATTTTCACTGAAATTATTATAAACAGTAACATAAAGTAAATGAATGCCACTAATATATATTAAACTTAATTAACAGGTGGGTAAATGTAGATATAAATATTTATGTGATGACTCAGTTTCCATGAACAGCTCATATACAACAGACCAGTGAATGACAAACTACACCTTTATATTTATACAGTTTTAAAGTTGAATCCTTCCTTTGTGTGAGTCGTCAAGTATCAGTTGTTCTCTCGTTATCATAGAAAAAAAAGTCAAACATTAAATAGTTAAATGTGACATTGTTGAATTATTAAACAACAAGAGAAAATACGTGAATAAAAACCAAGAAATCGTTTCAGTATTGTTCAGTAAATGTAATAATTCTCCCGTCTTCACTGAGTTTATAAGAATCTGGATGTTTAATATGTTTATTTTCAACTGTTTGATTTGATTTTGTGACCATTTTATTTCCCAACACACTTTTTTTATTTGTCTAAAATCCTTCAACTTTAAATATATTTCTATTTAATATATTAAATAGAAATATATTAAACTGCTGGAATTATCCTGGTAAATAATCAACTAATGTTAAAAATCAGCTGATCTGTTGAATGTTTCTTCCTCAGATATAATGAAGCTGTTGGTGTTTTTAGTCTCTCTGGGACTCCTTACTGACGACTGTGTCTCTGTGTGAATCCTCTTCTCTCTCTCTGATATTATATATGATTTAATGATCTGGATTGTTGGACGGTGAGTTGAAGTGTTGTTGTTAGACTGTATTTGAGGACTTTGAGGTTTGGTGGTGACGGCGTGTTGAAGCCGTTAGCTTGTGACGGAGAGCTTGTGTTTCTTCCTCTTCAGTGTTGACTCTGTAGAAACGTGATTTGCTGCATGCCGAACTTTGACTTTGTGTTTTGTGTTTGACTTTGGTCTCTGCTGCGTTTCGCCGCTCACCGCTCTCAGGTCAGTTTCCTGCCCTCAGGTGACTTGACTGGGACTTGTTAGCTTTGTTAGCATTCCTCACTGGGAGCGATGGCGCCTTCCAGTCGCGTGCTAACTGAAAAGTGGCGGTTCCGACTTTGACCTGTTGTGTTTGTCTCGGAGGCTTTAACAGCTTTTTACCGTCGGGAGAATGTAGAACTTTGTACAATCAGATTCTTACTATGATGATATTATTATGATTATATTGATTATATTGATTATTATTCTCAGTATTCTGCGTTTGTATATTTAAAGCTTTGTAATGTTTGAACATTGTGTGACTCACCTGTAGAGAACACACTGTGTTTATTAGCTCTATGATTTTGATAGTATGATATGCATTATAGAGTGTGACACCAGTTCCCTTAGCAACCGCTGAATGTGTTCGCCGCAGCACTGCCGCCCTTCATGTCAATCAACATCTCGGCGCCATTTGGCGTCCCGGCTCAGAGACACTGTGAGGAAGCTGAATGTGACTGACCTGTGACCTACAGGGGGCGGGGTCTCTGTGATGATGTCACCATTGAATCCAGGTCGACAGGGCAGGGTTACACTGCGGGGGCGGAGCCTGGTACTGGGGCTCACCTGTTTACTATGAACACTCTTAAAGCTCCGCCCACTGCAAAAGCAGAAAAATCTCATATATGACCTTTAAATATTACTCTGCCTCTTTCTGTTTAACTGACTCAGACTCTAATTATTATCTATTAATGATAATCATTCTCAAAATCAAATCCATGCTATGCTAATGCTAATGCTAACACCAGGACTAAGTGTCGTCCAGGTCTGAAGGTTTTTAAAATGATCACGTCTGTATAATTTACTGCATGTCAGACTTTTATTGTGAAAACCAAACACTCACTATAAAATCAGTTTGTTTGAAATTGTTTTTTATCTAACAGACTTTATCCTTTGATGTGAATTGGATGATTTGGTCAATCAGTCGTGGTTCAGGTGTTTGCTATGACACCTGTGTGACTCGGTCAGGTTCGGCCCCCTCCTCACTGAGCTGGGACTCTGACCGGCAGCTGCAGAGTGAATGTTTTCTACAGTAGACTAGTCGTGTTTTCTAAAGCTCCACTTTGACCTTTAAGACACTCAACAGTGATTTATCAGTGAATCTTCACCGGGACACACACAGTCCCAGAAATATCTGAGATGTCATTTTTTACTAATATTTAGGTGTTTATGCTTGAAACTGAAGAATTCATCTTAAAGCAGATTTCAGATTATTCCTCTGAAGAGATGCCACCATGTTTTTCCTGTGTTTTCAACACATGCTCAGTGGGCGTGGCTTAACCATGTTTATCTGAATGACAGTAAAGCAGCAACTTCCAACCCTTGGGTCAGAGTGAAACTCAGACTGTGTCAATGTCACCGGTTCATATACAACCAGAAGGTTTCTCTGAAGACTTCACTCTGTCAGACTCACCTGTCAGACTCAGACAGGTGAGGGCTGGGGTTGGAAGTCTCTGTGTTGAGGCCTCACCTGCAGCACTGAGAGCATGTTAACCACAGGAAGCTTTTCTTATCGACATGACAGGAAACAGCGGGGGGGGGCTTCAGACAAAGAACTGTGAGCAGGTCCTGAGCAGGTTTTCAACAAGCTAACATGCTAATTTGTGGCTAGCATTCATTGGTTACAGTTTGGAATGCTAATAATGCTAACATGGTAACATTCATTATTATTATTATTATTAATTAGATTCAGATATTGATTATTAGAGTCATTTCTCTGCTGGTCACGACTCCACTTACACAATCACAACATAGGCTAACACTGAAGCTAATGCTAAAGACAAACAAGTCAACCTAAAGCTTCTGGTGATACATTAGAACAGAATAAAGAAACAGATCATTATGCTAACGTTAGCTCCTGAGCTAACTGACTCGTGAAGCCTCGCTGTGGACTCACTCAGCTCTAATGTGTGATACAGTCAGTGTAAAGACAGAGTCCATGTTGTGTTGTTTTAAAAAACACCAACACCTCAAGTTTTATTTATTCTTTGATTTTTAGTGTCTGTCCAAGTAAGTTTTTTGTTTTTGTGTCCTGACGGTTCCTGTCGGGTTCATCAGTGTTTATTCATTAAAGTTCTGTCACTGTAAACCTGGATCAGGTCTGGATCAGGGTCTGTCTGGAGCTCCTCTGTTCTCTGTTGGTCGTTTGTTTTTTGCTTCCAGACGTAGAAATGAAGTAAAAATTATTACTAAATAAAATATCCAACAATAAATAAACGTTCATCTTTTAATTTCCAGATGTTTTAATTGTTTTTTTCTGTTTATTTCAGTAATGAAGTAAAATCAAAACTTCAGAGGTCACACAGACTGAGTCCTCGCTGTTTCCCATTCATGATGGTCATGCTCGCAAAATCAATAATTAATGATCAATAATCATCCACTCAGCTTTTTCTACTATGATGGATATTGTACTGTAGTGTAATGCTGCATGCCCAGTGTGTAACTGTGTGTGTGAGGGAGAGTGTGTTTTTAACCTTTTTTCTTTTGTAGTTTTCTGGAGTATTTTCTTCTTCTGCATCGTGTTCAAAGTGATTCTGTAAATAAACTGAGGTGGTTAAACGCTGCCGTCTGATTGGTCTGTTCTCATTCTCATTCAACTGTATTATTTCATCCAGTAAAAACAAAACATCAAGTCGTTTTAGAAAATGTTCACATCATTCTGGTTCGACTGAAGAACAGAAGACGTGGCACTGCTCTGTGTGAACATCTGTAGTCATGGATCATTCATTTACATTCAAATTAAACTGTGATAAAATGATCAAAATCACTAATTAATCATTAATAATGATGTAAGTAAAGTTTTCGAATCAGACATTTTACAGAAGTCTGTGCAGACTCAGTTTAAATCTCCATCTCATCAGATCAGCTGCAGATCTGAGGTCAGTGTGACGCTGTCCTCGTTTAGAAATACAGTTTACATGAGAAACAGCGACTGAAT